TCCTTGATCCTACTGCATATATGGCTAGCCCTCTGGGACCCCCCAGTACCTACCGAAACAGAACAAAATATTTAAAATTCCTCAATCGAAGATGGAATAGGTCAAAATGTCTAAGACAGAACTTTTTTTTCTGGCTCCCTTGCTTATCCTTCTTGGACAGATTTGGCTATATGGGGTTTATTACAGAGAATTGTAATGTTCCTAGATTGCCTAGGGCCGCTGTGCTGATGGAGCCCTGGAGCGACTGCCCAGCATGCCAGTGAGTTAAGATATCTCTGTGTTTGAAACTCACAATGAGAAGAATTATTATGAATCATCGCTTACACACTGAGCAACTGTGAAGTAGGGTTGAACGGAGTTGCCCAATTTTCTTGCCAGCACAACAAAATGTATATTTCTACATGAAAAAAAAAAGGTTTGAAGTATATTCATCATCGTCCCTTCTTTAAATCTGCCAGTTAGGAAGATATGACAAGCATCATAATCTTCTGCACTGAAAATGTACTAAGTGTAAGTAAGGGATGCATCATGCAGATTACCTTTTTTTTTTTCGAAAAGACATGACATTTCATCACTTTAACATTGTCTTTATTTTTTAAAAAATCTTGGTGTTGCAATCTGGGAAGTGGGTGTTGATATAGTGCCATGTTTTGTTGGCGTTCAGCGTTATCTGTATTGTTGTTATGCTCATCCTGTCTAGGTGGATGACCTTCTCTTCATGGCAATAAATGGAGATGGATCTGAGACAGAAACCTTCCTTCGTCGGAAAATAAAAGTTTTCATCAGACTCATGAGGTTCATGTTTGGACCAGTGAGTGAAGAGTAAGTCTATTTAATTTTCAACCACATGAAGTAGCAATGAATGTTTGTCTTTTTTCTACATAGCTTTTCCCTTATCGTTCGTTCAAAAGTTTTCATTTGGCATTATTAAATATGATATTAAGTCAGAATCATTTACATTACTATTTAATTAAGATATACACCCCCGGGGCAGTGCCACTGACTGAAGTGTCTTTTGGCCATTCCCAAAGGGGGGGCATTTCTCGTTCTAATGTTGTAAATGGGCTGATCCAACAATGTCATGCTCATAACTGTGCCTGAACTACAACAGGGAACTGCTGCTTTTTCTTTCCTAATTCTTACTATCATCATTTTTCTCTACTTCTTTTGTATGTTGGTCACACTCTTGTGACCCGCTTTTTCCAGGGTGCCTTGATAGTCGAAGCAGACTTTGTGCTGTTGAGGCTAGAGAGGTGAGCAGAGTAAGTCTAATTCCCTGTAAGTTCTTCTCTGTTGACATCCACCCCTTGGCGCTTATATGACCTTATGCAGCTGCGAGCGCCGTAAAATCTCTACTAAAACTAAAACTAAGGTAATACAATGTTGCCTTTTGTCATGAAACTATATGTTCCACCATGTATATTTTCATGGTTTGATAAGCTTGGTAATTTTCTCTGATCTGTCTTTGAAACAAGTATAAGATGAACAAAGTAACATTCTAGGGGCCAGTTCCTTCAAGAGTTTAAAATACCTGATTTAAAAAAAAAGTCATCCACCAGCCATGCCTGTGTGCAGCAAAAGTCAGACCATGTACTTTAACAAGAGAGGGTAGCTCATAAACTCTTGGCAGATAGGATGCTTACACACTGAAGTAATGGCTTCTGAGGATTTCACAAAACAGTTTCTTGCAGATGTATGTGGGCTGCTGTGTGATGTGCCTAAAGTTAGGATCACCTGAACATTTTTTTTGTCTCTTCAAAAATTTCGGCAATGACCAATTTCCCTACTATGTGAGATGGAAACAATATGACTAATAGAAAGCAATGATATAACTTGTGTTTCTTTAATAGTGAAAAATAAGTTATAGTGAAATCTTGGCAGTTTCCCACACACTGAGTGCTCTGCGAATGCCCGATAGCGTTAGACTTGACATAGATAGATTTTTTTGTGTCCAGTAAAATTTAGTTTGTGTCTTTTAGTCTGATTGTTGGCTGCATTATGTTTCTTTGCTGTGATACATTTTGCTGCAGTGTTGATGAACTGTTTTTTATTGCTATTTTTCACAGGATGGGTTTATCACATTTGATCAGCAAGAAAGCGAAATGGGATTTTCTTCGTCGTGTCACTCGCCACTGGGCTGTTCTCGTGGATACGGAGCAAGAATTTCTTGTTGAGGTATTTGTTTCCATATATTGTTGTTTTTTTTCTAGGTCATGCAAGTGATAAGATCTTTTGCTAATTTCTTTCTTAACGCTCTGTTATTTGTGACTCTTATGTTGTTATTTTAGCAACTTTATATGAAAATTATGGTGTCAGTTGTGTACATCTGCTTGTCAGAAACTATTATTATTTTTCTTTTTGAGTTATGTGAGCTTAGCTGATATTTTATGTAACATGATTCTGTCAAACAAGTTTGTCACATTTTACAGCTTCTTTTTGTGGCCCTTGATTGATGTTCACAGGCTATAGAGAGGCTGCATGTGAACCAGATGGTCAGTGAGAAAAGTGTGGAGATTCTGGAGAAGGCTGTCAAGCAAATTCAAGCTGCTAGGGACCTCCCCACTCAACATGCGTTATTGCTGGTTAATAACAAACTGCTTGCACTCTATTCCAAGTGAGTACAGACTGGTACTATGTGTAACATTGTAGTTTACAGCAACATGTGAAGCCATGTGTGTCTGCATCCAGTGGTCAGATATGCGTTTGTGACGATAAACATCAGCAACTTGGAAGGACATTAACGCTTCCCTCAGAAATGTCACAACTAATGACTGTCAGAATGTGAATTGTTAACTTACATTAAGCATCAAATGGTCTTATGTATTTCTTAAAGAATTTTTTGTTTGTGACTTGCTTGGAAAAGTTTTCTGGTTTCTTCCTTTTTGTCTCCAGCACCTTGTCATGTCTCAATTCTGTTAATTTTCACTTCAATCTGGGGATGCAGCCATGATGGATACCTACTTGCAGACATCCTGCAACAAATGGCAATGCCATATCCTTTCTCTAATCAAAAAAGCACGGAAAAATGTGACAAAATGTATTTTGTTCTTTCAGGTCATATTTCCACTCCTTAAACCACGAGGAGATTGGTCTTATAGACGTAACTCAATAAAATGACCGAACACAAAATGAGAATAGACATCTGCCTTCCTCTTGAAAAAAAAAGAATGGTAATCTGAACATATAACCTCAAATTGTATGGATTGAATTGCCTAATTTAACGTATTCATACAAGGTATCTGACCCATACAATCCGCGGATTCCAAGTAGTGTCCTTTTATAAATTTTGATTTATAATAATATTGCTCCATTTGTTATTTTAATATTATTTCATTATTTTACTCAAATCAATTCTATTATTAGTATTATTGTTTTTTATATTGATGTTATGACCGTGTTTCTTCTTCTTCTTCTTCTTCTTCTTCTTCTTCTTCTTCTTCTTCTTCTTCTTCTTCCTCCTCCTCCTCCTCCCCCGTGTTTCTTCTTCTTCTTCTTCTTCTTCTTCTTCTTCTTCTTCTTCTTCTTCTTCTTCTTCCTCCTCCTCCTCCTCCCCCTCCCCCCTTCCCCCCTCACCCCTTCCCCCTCCCCCCTCCCCCTCCCCCTCCTCCTCCCCCCTCCTCCTCCTCCTCCTCCTCCTCCTCCTCTTCTTCTTCTTCTTCTCAATATTTGTATTATGATATTCATTAGCATTATTTATTTAATTATTATTTATTTATTTATTATTTAATTGATGTTTTTTTTTTCTTAATTATCATTAATACTGCCCTTAATCCATAAACGTGTTATCGATAAAAATAGACGGTAACATAAATGATGACACTATAAGGGGGGAGGGGGGGTGATGAGAAAGGGGAGGGGGGAGGCAATTACAGCGAATTATAGGCGATTTCCAGGTTGAGAACCATAGATATGGGGTACATAGAAGCGGAACCAATAAATTGGCCAAAAGATATTATTAATCCGAATACAGGAAAGAGGCTAAAACAGCACCTGGACATGGATGGCTGGTTCCTCTATAAATAAATCATTGATGGTCTGGTTCTTTTAGGTACATTTTCATATTGATGTCTTCTATGTGACTGCTTTTATTGTACAAATAAGCAAGGAAACGAAACTTTTCCACTTGTCAGTGCTATACTCTCTATCACTTCAGTAAAGAGAAAAACAATACCTGCCTCTTAAAGCTAAAAATTGAACTGCTCATTAAAGCAAAAAGAAGTTTATTGGCAACTGATTCCTTCACCCGCAATGCATTCTTGATGAAGTGTAGCATCTAGAACACATATCTCAATAAGTTAGAGTCAGTCACTGAAAGAAACCAAAAAGATCCCTCTTAACTTCTAAGGTAACTGAGTTTGAAGAAAACAAGCTTATTACTATCAACTTTCGTATTCAGTCGCAGTGCCCATGAACTTCGGCCCAAAGATATCCTGTCTGTGATGATCCTGGCTGGAACAATGTACCCCCAAACAGAGCGGCTGGAAGATCTCTTCTCCCGCCAGTATACAGGCCCTCAGTCGAAGTCTGAGATCCCATCAAGCATTGAGGACAACAGTGATGGAGGAGAAGACGAGGTTTGTCTTCATGTGATCACATTTTGTTATTTTTTATTACAAAAAGTTTACTTTCCTTTTAGAATGTAGATAAAAAAGAGCACCTGGCTTCTACTTGAATGTCTTGTCACTAGTGGGAAATGAGTTGGGAAACATTTTGAGGGAGTGAGACTTAGAAACTGTTGGGACACACAGGCGGAATGAGCACACTAGCAAAACCAGTGAAACTATCGTATCTGATGGCTTTGATTTACTCTTGTCTTATAATGTTGGTGGGTTTTTTTTTCTCTTCTAGTATCACAGTGCACCCAACACACCAGGAGGAGGGAACAGGTCAAGGTCATCTTCAGTTAAATCAAACCACAACCTGGACATAGAAACACTGGATGTTCCAAGGAATAAAGGAGCCCCTTCTGCAATTGCTTCCAAAAACCCTCTCAGCGATGCATCCAGTCAGCTGTCTCTTTCTGAATCTGAAACTGTGAAGTATACAGCCTCTTCTGATCCAAATTCTGCTTCTCCTCAAGTTGAAAGAAAGCCAAGAACTATTTCATTGCTTGATATGTACAAAGAAAAGTACCCAGATTCTCTCTTTGAAGAAATGAAACCTCAGACTGTCAAGGAGACTGATTCAAAGAAGAATGCTCCTGAGAGGATAAATGATAAAGTGAGTGCTGAGGTTGTTGTTCACAAAGAAGTTGAGACAAAAGGAATGATTGAAGTATCAGAGAATGTGGGCAAAGAACCAGATGAAATTGCTGCAAACCCCTGCACAAATGAAAATAATGTTTCGAAAAGTGCTGAAACGCAAAATGGAAAGGCCCCTCCCAAGGTGACTATAACACAACTTGGAAATGCACATTCGGAGGGCAGAGGTCAGATAGCAGAAAGTTCTTTCACAGCAGGAGCTGCCCCTGAAGTGGTAGCTATACACTCAGAAAGACCATCCCATAATGCTGAAGCCATGCACACAGAGAGAACAATTTCACAAGGAGAAATTACTCAAATAGGGGAAACTCATTCTACTGTTCCCAAAACAGGAGAAATGCCAGTTTTGGATGCAGAACCAATTCACAATGAGAATGTAGAAAAGTCTGTTGCTGATATTAGTATAGAACATTGCAACAAAAAACCTGAACAGGGTGGTGATGCTTCAGATCCCAGCGGTCCACAAAATACTCAGATTGCAGTAGATGAAACAGCCTTTGACTCAGTCACTGGAAACCCTGCTGCAATGTTAGGGACAGAAGCCCAAAATGTTCTTTCACCAACGAATACTCAAAAGAGAGATGATAGTGTTAACAGGAATGACTCCTTGAATGATGAGCCTGACCCAACCTTAGATTGTCAGAGTCTTTCAAAGACAAGTTCGGGTGCAGACATCACTCAGCTGACTCGGGAGAGAAAAGATAATAGGTCTACACCATCTTTTGTTCACCCAGACTCTAGCAACCAAAATGGGAAAGAGATACGTGCTTCGAGATCTTCCACTATGAGCTCTGGTCACAGTCAAGAGCAGGAGGGATCTTCTGCCGTGAGTGAGGTATCACGCAGCAGTTCAGGTAATGATTACTCTTCTTTTTTTCCATTATGTCCTATAGGCTTTTTGGAAAGCAGTAATTTTTTATAGCAATCTGACCTCTGTTGTAAAGCCATGTCCTGTCTGCATCCTCTGATATCCTTTAGAAAGCTGCATGCTGGAGGAAAAATGCTCACTCACCAAGTTTCCGGTTTTATTCGTAAGGCTCATTAGCATCTCGCTCTTCCTTTCTCTTGCTTCAACATCAATTAAAGCACCAACACTATCCATTACTCTATCCTTTTATCGATTCAGGGTAGTTTTCATAATGGCCGAGAAAAGAAAATAATTTTGAGTTACTTGAATTACAAATGAGTCAAACAAATATGTCAACTCCCTACATGTTCAAGATATCTGTGTTCTACTGTAAAAAGAAATGGCTTCTGTAGTGTAGCTATTTGAGAAATTCTTAAGTACAGATCATTTCAGTTTACATGATCCTGAATGGTTTGAATCCCAGCAATAGGAGTTTGGGGCCTCAAGAGTGCCAGTTATACTTAAGTTTACTTTATTCTTCCATTTACCTAGCATGGAAGTTCAGTTCATTCTTCTTATTCTTTAAACTCAAAGTTGGATTTTTTACATTAGAGTCAACTGTTTATTTTTTTTCTTGTCTTTTTTCTCTGTTGTTTCATGTATGGCTCAGTCATTTCAAATATGAGTAAAAGTTATCCCGAGCTGACAGCAAATGTTGGAGAGAGCTTTCCATCTACAGGACATAGTGCTGGATACCAGCAAGGCACCAAGAGAGTTTCTGTAAGTATACTCTGTGCTTGACTTTCTTTCTTTGTGAAAAGTTGTACCTAATCTCATTGCAGAACAATATCTTATATAACATGTTAGCCTTGTCAAAGGTTGGAGGTGAATGTGAATTTTTGGATGTCTGTGCTGTTTTGTTTTGTTTTGGCTGGCACTGGTAAGGACAGATGTGGACAAAAATACCTCCCAAAAAGAAGAAACAAATTTTCTTAGATTTCTCCCTGCAGCAGCTCAATATTACACTGAGCATGTTTTACCTTTCCCCTTCATATCTTTGTTTGTTCTTGTCTATCAATTTTTCTCAACTGGTTCATGCTGTTGATATTGTGACGGGTAGGGAGGCAAATGCAAATGGTTTTAAAATTAATCTTTGAGAAAGAAAATGCTTGCTTCTCATACCAAAATTCATGGTATGTATCCTTTGTATGTGCAGAGATTGTCAGTGTATCACTTACTTTATTCTCAAGCTGTTGTATGCCTCATGTCTGAGTAGGAGAGATCAACTAGTTTTACTGGATTGAGTTTTTAAAAAATCCAGAGGTCTGATGTGACATTGCCCAATTAAAGGTGTCCTGGCATATGAAAATAAAAATAGAGCAAGTCTGTCCAGGCTGCTGTGGTAGCAAAATTTCCATTTCAACTACAGCTGATACCTGAAGAGGGATAAAGAGGAAAAAAGAGGAAGACGATGACATGCTGAAAAGAATTACCAGTTTACATTCCTCTCTCTCTCTCTCTCTCTCTCTCTCTCTCTCGCTCTCTCTCTCCAGCCTCAACCAATACGTGCAAGTCCGAACCCGCAAGAGACGGGGACAGCAGAGTCCTCCGTGTTGACGTACCAGACAGCTGGCAGTGTGGTATCCTCTCCCAGCAGCCCGGCCAGCTATCGTCCTCAGAATGTCTTCCTGAAGACCTCCACATGTCGTTACTCCCCCTACACCATACACACAGCACAGGTGTTGCCTGGAGTCACTTTGGTGCTTTTGTCTCAGGTACCATCTCCTTAAGTTTCCTAATTGTAGTGTCCAAGTAAACTTTGTGTACTTTCTGTCTCAGGTAAATACCACTGTGGTTTTTTGTGATTCCAATTTCCTGTATGCTACTTGTGGTATGTCGTGAGTATGTATTTACCTTTTTGGAGTCTGTGAGTGGTTGGCGGGTGCTCTGGTGTGGTTTGCTTCTTTTTTCCTATCAAACATCTATCATCCTTATCTCTCCTCCTTCTTTTTTGTGTTTGTTACTCTCTTGTAACACCTCTAATATTCAGCACTTTTTTGACCTTATTGTGTTTCAAGTGCTGTAAAACACTTACTAAAACTAAAACTAAGTCTGTCCTGGTATAACACTTATCTTCTAACCAGCAGAGAATTTTGTTATCTCCGACTTCTTAATTTTCACTGTGGATGTCCACATTCCACCAAGTTCTCTTTGATTCCAAAGGTCTTTTTTTAATCTTTGAAGTTACCGAGAATGTAGATTTTGCTCATTAATCACCTCACTACACTCAAAGTATAAAACTTGTGTGTGCCAGATTGAAGCCTGCGTGAGTAAGTTACTTCTTTTAAAAGATGTTATTTATAAAATGCTTGACTTGTTCTGGAAAAATAATAAATTTCTTATCGTATGAACTCAGCTTAAATCTTCAAAGTCATCCATAACTGTAGCTATAATTTGATGCTAGTAACAGGGAGTTATAAAACCTGTTCTACAGCTCTTTTTATGACGATATAATATAAAAGTTAGCGTCATTGCTCAAGCCCGTTGGTAATTTTTTTCAAGTTTTGAGAAAATGAAATAAAAAGAGAGTGCTTAAATCTGAACTGTGACCTAGGTACTTGTTATTTTTCAGTAGAAAACTAAGACGGAAATCACGAAACAGAAGCAAACTTTATTGTAAGATGCCTCTTGATGTCGTTATTAATGAATTTCAATGTGGAAAACAAAATGTTTCAGGTGTCAGGTCTGGAGAAAAAGGGGTTGGTAAAACTGATTCTGTGTCACTCTCTGATGGGTGTGCAGAGTGTTGTTCAATGGTAGAGCGTCCAGCAAAGTCGTAAAGTCGTAAAAAAGTCGTAAATTCGGCCCCCTAGTCGTAAAGGTCGTAAATGGTAGTAAATTTGCCTTGAAGGTAGTAAAAATTTGGCAAACGGTCGTAAATTAGCCTGCATACTGAGTGGTGAAGCCAGCAAGACTTTCCAGTGAACCCTAGCCGCGGTACATGACTCAGTTTTTGCCGGTCGCGATTGTGATATAATTATTCGTTCACCTTTTCCCCCTCCGAGAGTACGTTTCACGCAAAAAGCCGGCTATGGCGGCAGGTAGAAGTGTATGTGACGCCGAGGCTCGATTGGGAAAATCAAGATCTACTTTCGCTTTCGTTACCACCCTGAAATTTGGCGTAGATAAACTGATAACGCAACATTTGTAATATGCAGGTTGTACAGTATACCCGCTTTGTCGCCGTGCAAATAAAATCAATAATTACTCGGACTCTTCACCGTGCTGTCACTTGTGGGGGTGGGGGGTGAAAAGAAAATACAAGCTTTGTCCGATTTTTAGATTGTCGGGTTCGCCAGCGTGACAGGTCAGTGAACCTTCGCGCGAGGCACTACAAGGTACGGCATCGGTGAGCACCGGCGTTTGTTGGGGTCGCCAAAGTTCATTAAAAAGTTGAGCGTTGCGAAGTATAGGACTACGGAGTAGGGCAGGGATTATTGACTTTTTAAAAAAAAGAGACACTTGGGGGAGGGGGGGGGAGCGGATGAAGGCAACACCAGAGGACAAAAACTGTAAGCAAATTTCAGAATTTTGATTAGATTTAGAGCCCTCTACGAAGCGCGCGTTGGTGCAGGCCTTGTGTGGAATCGGGATCCTTCATACCTTGTAAGCCGTGTTATTGTAATAAAGTGTTCGCGTTTCATTTGTTGAGTGATAGTAAATTAGAACAATATTGTAGCTTTCTGTTCAAGTCTGGCAGATTTTCAGTGTCACTGCCTCTTGCCCTCTCACAGTTCTTACACCTCTCACACTGAATAGGTTTACTCGAGTCATTACGTGTGTGCGCGTTGTTGTGTAACATGGCCCTGGACAATGGAGAAGCCGGTTTGGCAGTCACCCTGTGTGTACACATTAGGTATAAATCTACCCCCCTCCCCCTCCCACCTCCACCAGGGCAGTGCTACTGACTGAAACGTCTTTAGGCCATTCCCAAAGGGAGGATATTAACATGCTCTTATGCACAGTAGAAATGTAAATGGGCTGATTTATCAATGTCATGCTCATACTGTGCTGGACCAGCGTAGGGGGAACTGCTGCGTTTTCTGTCCTCTTCTTTACTATCGTCATTTTCCTCTACTTCTTTTTTATGTTTGTCACGCTTGTGAACTACTATTTCCGGGGTGCCTTGATAGTCGAAGCTTGATTCCCTGTTTGGACTTCTCTGTTGACATCCACCCCTTGTCGCTCATATCACCTATGCAGTTGCGAGTGCCGTAAAAACCTTACTACAACTAAATCTAGCTGCAAGCAAGCTTGCGATCGTCTGTCTATCCTCCATTTTGTCGACTGGACTTTGTTGTGTGTTCTTTTCGTTCCATATGTTATGTAATAATAATGTATATTATGTTATTGATGGCGCAAATTAACTCCCTTTTTCGAGCTGGTGTGGGGCTTGATTTGCTGGGTAGTAAATTTTTTTTCCAGGTAGTAAATTTGTTCAGGAAATATAGCTCAGGAAATATAGCTTCAGGACATATCCCTGTTATGGTATAGTGTCATGATTCAGTTATCAGTCTCCTGACATCCAAAGCTTGTTTTGTTTTCATCACACTTCTTTTTTCAAATGTGGCAATACTTGCAAGAAATAGTGTTGGTTTGCAGGCTGTCCTTGGGATATTACAAGAAATTTGACACATTTCTGAGTATTTTCAATAAAACCCAGTCTCACAGGATACCCTGAACTTTGGCTCATAAACAAAAAGTGTTGACGTGTCTTGAAAGAGGAAAAACAATTTGAAGTAAATGGAATCAATTTCATACGCTACCTTTAAGAATGAGAAATCTCAGTAGGAAATAAATGAAACCTAAAGTAACTCGGATGTGTGCCCACTGCTATGTTGAGATTTTCCTTTTGTTTAGGGATGTGGAAATTTGGTGAAAAGTAAACCAGATACCTTGGCATGGATTGGATAAATGTTCATTACATGATTTTATGACATCTTTCAACAAAAGGCAAGCCTGGCAGCTTGTTGGTAGCACTTGTGTTCAAATCATAGTCCATTTGTAGAACATTTCCAAGGTGGGGGATATTAACATGTTCTTATGCTTAGTAAATTTTTAATGGACTGATTTATCAATGTCATGCTCATACTGTGCCGTAACAACGTAGGGGGAACTGCTGCTTTTTCTTTCGTCATCTTTACTATCGTCATTTTCCTCTACTTCTTTTGCATATTTGTCACTCTGTTGTGAACTGCTATTTCCGGGGTGCCTTGATAGTTGAAGCAGACTTTGTGCTGTTGAGGCTAGAGAGGTGAGCAGAGTTAGCCTGATTCCCCATTTGGACTCCTCTGTTGACATCCACCCCTTGGCGCTCATATGACCTTTCGCAGTTGTGAGCACCGTAAAACCTTACTAAAACTGAAAGCAGTTTGTAGAAGACTGCCCAAATGTTTGTGAATTTTTTCTGTAAAAGAGTCAAGAAACTCACAGTTTGGAATATCTATCTATGGCTACTTTTCTTAAACATTATATTAGATTGCTGAATCTTTACTCAAATTTTAATGTTCCATTTTTCAGGCTCCAAGACATATATTTGCTGACTACTTGTACCAAGTGATTCACAATGTTCAAGATCTCTTGTACGGCCGTAGGAGTGAGTTACCTCGGTCTAGGAGCTTGTATGTCTATGATATCATCAATTCACAACTGGCAAAACTGCACAACAACTTGAAAAAATTCAAGGTAAGGTAGTTAAATTGATGCTTATTAAATAGTGACAGCGACAGTAAAAAGTTTTATACAATACATGAAATATCTACAAAGAAATTTGTTTTAAGGATTTAGTAACATATTTACCTTCTGACATGTCATCAGGGGGCTCTCATGGCCTAGAGGTTAAGGTGTTCGCCTCTCATTCAGTAGGTCATGGGTTTGAATGTTTAATTTGTCCCACACGCTCATATCACCTTATGCAGTTGCGAGCGCTGTAAAAACTTACCAAAAAAAAAGAGGGACATGTCATCAGAATAAATGCATCATTGCTTCAAGTGGTTGGGGGGGGGGAGGGGGTGAGTGTGCTCAAGTATTATCTGCTCTATGTACACATGGTGTTACTGCTGTCTTAATCTGTTCTTGGCTAATAATAGTATTGGTTATCATGCTTACATGTCATGAACTACAACTCAGTGACTTAACAACATGTATGTCATTGGCAGAGAAAGTTACGAATCTGCTTACACCCTTACTTTCAGTATGACTCTTTCAATGAAGAGGCTGTACGTATATCTCTTAAAGACTGACAAACAATTGTCATTTGTTTATATTGTGAGAGACATGAGCTCAAAATCTTTGTGAACCTGTTGTTGATCTTCAGGGCAAAGTGAGGAACCTCAGCTATGACATTCATGCTCGTTGGGAAAAAGAAGATCTTAAACGCAAGTTGCTGGACTTCCTAGAGAGAGACAAGAGGACGCCCATACCTCCAGAGTAAGTTAAATATCGCCATTACTGTGCTTATTCATTGTGAACAATTTTTTTTGGTATATTTATGTACAGACAAACACGGGTAACTCGAATTCGTCAAGGATTGGAAATAGTGTTTGAGATTTCCATAATTCATCATGTCTGTGAAAGCACCGAATACAAAGAAATAGAGAAAAAATCAAGGGAGGTAAACAAGAACATAAAAACAATTAATGTGGTTAGCTCCCTTGATTAAGGAGTTGACGGTGTGAAAGCAAGAAGGTGAATGAAAGTGGAAAGCAGAAAATCTCATTTGTGCACAGCCGGGTCCTACGTCACTACTTTTCTCTCATTTCATTGGCTTACAGAAAGTTACGCCTCTTGCCATCCGCACCGTGCTTGTCCCACAGCGTGATTGCACGCGTGATGAACCAGTCATTCGAAGCGGTCAACATCTCTCCCCAACTTCCTTTCCCCCTACCCCCTTCCTCCAGCCTCTCATGGTGAGACAAGGACTATGTTTTGGCTGTAGCAATAACTAAGAAACACTTACCCGCAGCCAGAAAGCCGTTAAGCCGGGTCTTTAGTTGAGAATGTGAAGTGGATTCGTTCGAGATTTGAGTGTTGTGTGTTTGGGAACTCCCTGAAGTCAATACAAAGAAAACATAAGGACTGAGGAATATGGTTGGTGCCTTTCATTTTGTTTCTGTTAATGTAGACCATACATATGTGTTCCATTGTGACCAATGCTCTTTACTGTGATTCTTATATTCCACTTTGTCCTATTCTGTCCCAACATGACCTCGTACCTGATGTCAGATCCTTTACTTTCAATGTTTCTTCCACTCTTTCCTTATTTGCTAAATGGTTATTGTGCTGATGCTGACAATCAATATGAAGCAATATTGAAAGCACAGCTTTTGTAGGTGGGTATCCAGTTGAATGAGTTTTTAAATAACCCTGCAACCACCAGCTATGGTTTTTGTTTTATTTTTATTTTAAAATAAAAAATTGCTTAAATTAATTTTTAGATTAAAATTTTTATTTTAAAAAAAAAAATTTTTTGGGTGGGGAGGGGGCATTAGGATTAAAATATTATGTGGTGTGTTGGAACTTTAAAAAGTTTTGTATCCGTGCATAAGCCTTTGTACTCCTTCATTACTAAAGGGGATAAATGAAAGGTGTCTTGTTTGCTAAATTCAGAGGGCTAAGTGGACTGAAAAGGTAATTTCACTTCATAGATAAATTTGTCTTTGACTATAACAGTTGTTATACTTGACCTTAAAATTCCAAATTAATCCAATTCTGTGGAGTCTCCTGTATAACAGACTGGTGTAGAATAAAACATTTGTCACCAAACTGTAGCTCCAACCCCTATTCTATTTTTTTGTAATCAGATAGTTTGGTGACCTCTCTAATATGGTCTGTACTTTCTTCTTACTGTTACCGTTGTCTCAGCTTGTTCCTTGCAACACAAGGCCATCATGGGGTTGGCTTGCCATAAACTGCAACTGGGCTGTCTCTTTTTGCATTGCCATTGAAAGAGTTTGAATAATCATCATTAAAAAAGATATCTATGTTTATTTTGTGTGCAATTTTAATGCTGTCAAACCTGCTCTAACATCCACCTGTCCAAAACAATCATCTGTACTCGTGACTACTTCTCATTTCCCCTTTTACTTTTTTTGGGGGGGCATTATATTATGATTTACACTGTTCAAGATGACCACATGTCTTAGACAACCACTCTTCTCCTCAAAAAATGGGTGGCCATCTTGGACAATTTTGAGTGTACGACTAGTCGAGTTTCTGCATTGTGTTGTAGCTTTATTGTCTCGAGCTCTTCCTGTGTCCCCCAGACTGGAATCTCCTCTGTTGGAACTGTACAAGAGGCTGAAGGAACTCTTCTCTTGTCTTTTCCTCTACCCCATCCCAGAGACCCCACAGTTGGCTGTGACCCTCTCTCAGCTAAGAGTAAGTACCCTACTATGATGGGATTTTCTGTCAAAGAGCATATTGTTAGGCTGTGTATAGATTTCATGAAATTTCAGTGGCTTCTCCTATGTGTATAACTGGCTATGAGATAAAATTCACTTTTTATCGTTCACGAGGAAATTTCCCCAAAAGGGAACTAAGATGCTTTTTATAGGACTGTGACATGTTTTGAATGGTTTATAGCCATACAACAGAGTTGCACGTCTTTGTGGTAAATGTATGGTTTAAGAAACTATTTCTTTTGTCTTTAAAAAGTGAATTTAACTCTATCTGTACGTCATGTTTTACTATCATATCCATACGACGTGGGGAACTGTGTGCCACCACTTTCGAAAGAGGAAATTCACTTGTTAATCCGATCTGAACGCTTTGCATAGCAGTCTGTCAAAATGATTTTTTGAGAAATACTGAAAGTTTCAAAGAGATCTTCGCACTAGAAATATTCTAAAATGTGAATGACCCCAGGCATACGGATAGGGTGAAATAGTTTTTTGCTCGTTATTCTAACAGAGTGATATTTGCATATTTTTAAAAATCATGATTTGTTTTCACTTCTCCTCTTATTTTGTTCCCCAGGTTCGTGTTAATGCTGAACTTCTGGACTATCGGGAGTATCTGAATGTGAAGGCTCAGCGCAACATCACAATGACGAGCTATATCGATGATTTTCCTGGTCTCATTCACTTTATCTTCATTGATCGTCATTTCCACCAGATTACTGCTCCTTCGCTTAACATTTCAATGAATGCAGGAGAAAGTATGAATGCCACAAGTTATTTGAAAGAAAAGGTACAGTGAAATTCATCATTTATTTATCTTAACAGCATCGAGTTCTGTTGATTTATCACACCACAAGTAGATACCTCTTTGTAACTATGGTTAAGACATTTTTTTTTTAAGAGGCCACATGACTGTGAGTTATGTCATAGATGTATGACAAATTTAAAGAAAATGAATAGCTGGGTAAATTGTAAGAAGTCTTAGTTAGGAATACTACTACTTTTTGGATTGTTTTTGTTTTTTTAAATTCAAACAATGGAAAGTGGTGATGACTCTCATTTGAATACACTAACAATTTGAAAGACCTGAACGTCAATACTGGCTCAACTACTACAGAAAGAGAGACACGGAAAAGGGCAAAAGATGAGGTACTTGGAGAATTACCTTGTGTGAAGAATTGTTGTTTGATTTTCATTTCTGTTCTGTTAATGTTCCTATGGCAGAGAGCTTGTCAGCTGATTCTCGACTGTCCTCATTTTGGCAATCTGACATCTAAATTATTTTTCTGTTGTTTCTGTTCAGATCTGGCAGATGTACCAGTGCATGATGAACAAACTAACAGAAGGCTACACCACTGTGATGATGCGGGATGGAGACTTCTACTTCTCCTATTTCCTCTGGTTTGAGGACTATGCAGTGAGTATGAGTATGAGCTCCCTTTGGAAAGAATAGATTCTACTTCAAAATTATATGCAATCACATTGAATTACTAATTTATTTTTATATCACCTTGCATTATAATATATTCACACAACAAAAAATCTTTTAATAGTCAATATTAGTATCTTATGGTGTGCAACTTCACATTTTCATGGTGTCATAACGGTTAATCTTATTGATTGTGTATAATTTATCAAGGACTACCATGTATTGTTTAGAGAAATATTTGTAATAAAAGGCAAACTTGCTCTTGTAGGTTTGGCTTTTCAGGTTTGTAAAATTTGAAAGTTTTCATTTACAGTATTCGTTACCTCAGTTTACCTGAGTGCAGCTCACAGTCATAAGTATTTTAGGCTGCGAGTCCTGCATTATTCCAAAGCTCCACTTTGCAATTAAGGCACTAACATTGTAACTGTAAATTGTTTACATGTGTAGGCCTACTTTGTGCAGTAAAGGTTCTTCTATCACTTTCAGCTTTCTTACATATTGTCTGTTCTAACTTTTGTAATCTTATGATTAATTGGTACCAACCTGAAATAGGTATATAGCATTTTGCAAAGTGCAGAAATCTGTCGTGTATGATACCAGTCTTCAACTTTCCTAATTTTATGTTATCTTGTAATTAATGCACTTGTCTTCTTTGGTGACATGTACAATATTGGTATGATTGGGCAAGTTCTTTCATGCCTGCTACATTTTTGTCTGTTGTCATGAAATATAGCTGTAATGATGAACTTTATGAGGCTGTACAAAATGTAAGCAATGATTAATTTACCAATCATCCTTCAGATGTCTACAAAAGAAATGTCTGTGTAAAGTTTTAAAGTTTTAGACAAAAAAAATCAGCTGTGGAATACTGAGCAATGAGGTTAAAGTTCAGTGCAACCAGTGCTCTGGTGAGGGAGAACAATCTGCATCATTGATAATAGTGGCTGTTTTTGTCAATCAGGACAACAGTTCAGTGACTGGAGAGTGGGAATAAGAGTCATCAAGTGATGATCATTTCTAAATCAATTGTTTCTCCTCTCTTTTGCTACTTGGATATTTATTCCATTTCAAGATTGACAGGTAGTGAATTATTCTCTTTTAAAATTGAATTAGCCTTCTCGAATTACCTTTTTTGTTGATGGTTTAGGGGCTCTACTGGTAAGTCCCTCTTATTTTATTTCCTTCTGTTGTTTCTATCTGTTGTGTCTATTTTTTCCCCAGCATTAAGTGACCATATCATGTGGATGTGCTCCCGTTTACTCAAACTATAAACAAATTACCTTTCTTAACTCGTCATTCAGAGGCCTTCTGGTCTGTAGCCTTCTATGACAGCTACAGTAAGTTGAGTAACATGGCCATCTTCTTATCTTTAGGGGAATGCACTGCCTGTACAAGAGAGCTTCAAACCATCTAAGGCACTGCCTTATCCAGGAATACTCAGTGGCTCCTTCTACAGGTAACTCGCAGCTGTCTTTTGCAGGAGGCTGTAAAATGTTATTGTAGTGGTCTAAAGGAAAATGTAATCCCTGCAAACATTACCTAACCTGACATTTCTGGCAAACTTCAAATATGCAATGACTTAAATTTTATCATGCAATTTCAACGACAAAGTTTTGAATTATTTTTGTAACACCCTGGGTGGTAAGCCAGATCCTATCTTAGATGTTGGTGCATATTTGCATGTTCTTTATACTCTATTCCACTACACAGATAACTATGTGTATGTTTTTGATGCATAATAATGATGTGGTTTCGTTTGAATCTTAGATTTTGAGACTAATGTTCCTTTTCTTACAATTGAAATTATAGCCCAAGTGGTAATTACATGTCATGTAAGTAAGTTGTTTTATTCTCTTAGTCTTATTCTGAAAGGTAAAAAATCAAACCTTGGAAACATATTTAGCTCTATATTAGATTGGCACGCTCACTAAAAAGTAAACTCTTGTATAAATGTTTCTGCTTGTAACAGGCGTGTGGTGATGTAATTACCAACATTTAATAGTTCTTGCTTAGTGTTCTTCATCAGATGTTTTTGCAAACAGTTTATATCAGACAATGATGGAACAGATTCTTGCAGAAGTATTTTCCAACTCTTGTTCTTATCCTGAGAACGGTTCATTTACTTTTCTTCAGGATAGTGATAAGCCTACTTTTGTTGTGTTTTTAGGTTTATTTCTAGTCTGCATTAATTGAACGCTTTTCATTTCCTATTTTGCAAGGATGTCACTAGTAGATTCTGTTTCTTTTCAACATGTGGAATTTTTCTGCTTTACCCGGCTTTTACTTTTATGATTAACTTTTAAAGATGTTTCTCTTTTTATCTCAAGGCTTCAAAGAATTCCTCCCCCTTTCTGTCATTTCACACAATTGTGATATGTCTTTCCAGCAAGCTGTTGCGCTACTGCTTCCCCCAGGCCATCCACGGCTCGGTCCGCTGCTTCGAGATGTTCCTGCTCCACGTGGGTAGTGTCCACCCCCAGTATGTGGCCGCACATTGCAAGAAACTGGCAGCCAAAATGTGGGAAATGACTGGAGAACCCTACACCACTGCTAGTCTCTTCTAATGTATTTCTAGAGGTGTTCACCATCAGTTGTACCTGATCTATACCAGAGACTTTTCCTTATTCCATTTTCTAGTCATAGGAATAAAAACAAATTTTACAAACAAAGCTGTTGTTTTTTAAATACAACTTAGCATTGTTACAATTCAGTTTTAACGTTTCTATATTTTTTTCAAGCTCTCCAGTGCTTTTATGGTGGCTGTTTACTCAGGACTAACTCTTCTTTTTTTTAAACATGACCATTCAGAAAGACCTGAAGTTTTTTGTGCAGTCGTTCTGTTTGAACACTATGGCTGCTTACAGCTTTCACTCTTTGTTTTTATTCAATTCTAAATATTTCGCACAATTTCCAAACCTCACAGTGCAATGTATACACTTTGTATAAAGGTAAATGACAAAGATGTTTCTAAGTCACTTTAAATTGAAAGACAGAAAAATTGTGCTTAATAGTAAACAGACCCCCCCCCCCCTTCCAATTGTTTTTTGTGTTGTTAACCCACCATGCATCACTAACAAATAGCCTGTAGTGTCAGGGGAAATCATAGGATTTCACGATATAGTTTGGAAAATACTGGAGAACAGGCAAACCAAGCAAGTAAAGGCCATAAACCTATACATTTATGAAAACAAGGATGTAAATCGGAAATTGAGCTAATTTGTGAAGAAATTGAAATGTTTAACAATATCAAAGACAGGATATGAATGAATGGAAATGGCAACTCAAATTATGGCCAATTAAATAAATTGGCAGCGACACCATAAAGCAAAACCTCCAGCCAATTTAATTGGCCATTGACTCTTGAAGGATTAAGGCTAATCATATCCTCAAGGTTCTCATTCTCATTTTCTTTCAAAATTAGCATAGAGCCTAAAGCTATAAATAACTAAAAGCTTTGGTCTATTTGTTCTTGGGCCTAGCAAAGATGACATCAGCATCAGTTCAGTAATGTACTCAAGGAGCCCTTAAAGTGAACAAAAACATAAATTGAATTCTGTAACGGCTGTTTGAAATCAAGTAGATCTAGACAAATTAACATGTATACTCGTATGTACTTAAATGTCATCAGAACCAAAGTACCTGAATAATGAAAGGAAAAAAGAAAGAGTTATGGATTTGATAATTGCCAACAGTGCACTTCTTGTCTTGTAAAATGACTTGTGATGGAGAAAAGTTTGCAGAAAAGTTTGTGCCTAGCATGTCAGTTACCCTCTGTGAGTTACTTTGTTCTGATGGCTTCAAATCCTGCTTTTATTTCAGTTTCATGTTTCTGCAGATAGTAGTGTCTGCACCGGTGCTATCCAGATGGCTGTGCCTGCACAGTTGTGTTCTTTCCATTCCACAATGTCTTAAAATGTGATTCAATGTTATAATTTATGTTCTTAATCAGGAGCCATGTGTCATATGTCAAGAACTTTGATCAAATAAAGAACTCTGTAATATTTCAATCTTTATATTTGTTTTGTTATTTTGGTGGTCTAAGTTGTTTCACAACAAAAAAAGGTTGTATGTACCATCACACAGTTATAAGATTACAATGCAGAAAAAAAGCCCCATGTTCTGTGTGACTGTGGATCAGCATTGTGTAGTGGTTTTGACACATGTATCTTAATCTGGAGGTTCCCCATTCGATTTCCTCTAGAATCCAACAAACTTTGTATGTCAGGGTAATCCTATTTTATTTCTATATCCTACTGCACTGCAATTGAAAGTTTAATGTATGTGGTTCATTGTACTTCTAAAAGAATCAACAGGGCTTAAAAAGTACATTGAGCACTACCAAAATCATCATAAAATCTTATGCGACCTGGATGCCCAGACAAAAGGCCATAAGACTCTGAATAATGAAGCAAAAAGGGGCTAAACAATGTAAACGTAAACTAAGCCTGAGCACTTCTAGACACCACAAACTTAAGGTGAGGGGGAAGTTAGGGAGAGAGAGAGAGGAATATCAACTTCTGAATCACCAGCATCTATGGTGCAGCAGTTGTGCGCTTTACTTTGCTGTCCCACCCACAAGACCCAAGTTCAATTCCCAAGTGGGGATACATTTTTTATCAAGTATCTCCGTCTTTCTGCTGGGATGGTGTATTAGAAAAAGACTTCTGAATCTATAGAATAGCCTTGAAGAAGCAGGATAATTCTCTTGCAAGTAATATAAAGTAACATCCCATATAGCATCATTGTGATACTAAACTTTTCAAACAACAATCAAAACTATGATCAGGAAAGGTAATATCACTGCTAATCGCAACCCATGTACATTATATTTCATTCTATAGAGATTTCTTTCATTAAAATTTAAAAAGCTGAGTGCACATGTACCAGGCTGAAATCAAATTTTACAGAATATAATGCAAAACTGATTCTTATTGTAATGACCTCTGTTACCGCTTCTCAATCTGACTAAAATTAACAAATAATGCTCATTTTAAAAAATTATTAAAGTTCAAGTTATCTGTCAGTAGTTTGGCTTTACCTTACTTCAACAGAACTATCGAAACGGTGCATTACAAATCTTCAGGTTTGCATTTTTTGACAGATAGTATGAGGGAAATATGCAACAATTGCAACATCGATCAACGAAATGCCTTCAGTTTCAAGACTTATTCTATATGTTCATTTTCAGAGCTCGGAAGCCCACCTTTAATAACTATCACACACCACCAGACAAAATGCTATCACGGATATTCTATTCCTTTCGCACAATTAAGCTTACTTCAGATCCCGAAGAACGGTTCCAGCTTTACTCACAGAACTTAGACCAACACAGTGTGTTTGACAAGCAAAAGCAAAAGTTCCAAATATGAATGACAAACCATTGCTCCTTGCATAAGAGCAACATCTTTCACCTCTTACACACCACTGAGCCAAGGAGACAGTAGAGCAAAAAAACAAAAAGTCTTGCCGTATTTGATTTTTCCTCTAGCTGTGATTCAGAATAATCTCGATGAGAATATTCTATTGAGCATGAACTCGCAAAAACTATGATTACATGTACTTATTTGGAGCTAACTATGAGAATTCTTGCCAGAACGGCTCCCACCCTCACACAAACGACAGATATTCTCCCATTTTGTTTATTTTGTCCCTGATTTTAAAAAAACTGTTCCAAGTTCAAACCAAGTGACTTGGCCTAGGCCTGATGCATTATGGTGATGGTGAAGGAGACATTCTTACATAATAGATATGAGCCTGCAGTCTTTGATTTGATGAGAAATTTTGCATTCAAAATGTTGGTCCACTTTTATTTGAAACCTGCAACTCCAAAGTGTTATAAGAATAGAGAAGTTACAGATGTTATCTTTGATTCTGACCCAGAAACTCATTGTAATAGTGATAGTTAATAAAGAGAGAAAACTAGACCAATACATTCTGAGGGTGACATTGAAAGGGGGGGGGTGTCAGCTTTGGACACCTTTTGATCTCCCATTTACAGGTGACAGTGGGATTTGTGTAGACTGTATCAATCACAATGCACTAAATGCTTGGATTATTAGACTTGGACTTTCATTAACCCCTTCATTACGTTATGATGTACCTGCTACATCATGAAAATGGGTAATTTTTAGCGCTGTGCCATACCATGTACGTCATGGAAGTTGGCAAAATTTGCCACTCCTGGTTGCCTGATTACATGCACAGCATGCTAATCACCCGGCTTCCTTCCTTCCTCTGGCTGGCCTCCGTTAAGAGGGCGGCAGTCTGCTGCAGGCAGACAGGTGTAAGAGGCAACCTCGTGTGGCCTCGTCCAGAGTACATGAATAATCACCTAGCTTCAATTCTTCTGTACAGAGTTCAACCACAAGCTCTGCATGGATTCGTATTTGTGTATAAAAGATGCAGTACCACATTTGCTAATATTACTTCACTGCTAGGTTTGCAAGTGATCGATACACCCAAATCTAGGCTTGTCAGCGGCAGTGTAAACACCAAAATGACTTTAACCCCTTGACTGCTAACTATAAGTCCACCACGTCTGCTAAGGAAATTTCCACTGTGGCTGTGTATGACACGGTCTGCTTTTTGAATGGCTATAGCTCGCTTACTATACTATAAGCACTAGATACAGCAAAGTCTATGTCAAATAAAAGAGAGATGAACATACAATCCAATGGCGCTACAAATTTTTAGGTATAAGTATTCTGTAGAAGAATTTGGCAGGTGAAAATGAGATTTTTAAAATTCCATCTCCACATTCTAGATCTCTGTCATCTCGGAGATAAGATTTACGACAAAAACTTTCTTTGGATGAATTGAAATCTTCATCATCACTGTCTGTATTTCGATAAATTTCTGCAATAACCTGATCCATAGACCTAGTCAACCTTTGCGAAGCCATCCTGGCGAAAGTAGGCTGCACGCAAAAACCTCAGAGAGGCAGACTGACTTCGTCATTCACGCACAACACTACACACCATGTCTCTTTGTTTTAGCTACTACATTCGAATCCTGGGACTAGTAGCTTAAAATAGGCATGATCGCATCGGCAAGTGGACAGAGAATGCACGGATGTAACTCTTGTTATTCAAAACTGTGTAGAAGTGAAGATATGCACAAAACAAAAAACTTTCAGGCGTACCACATAGCGCACACGGGAGTAAATTATTAGGGCGTACCAGGTACACCGACAGAGCAGGCAAAGGGTTAAAAAGGCCCCAAAAAATCACCTTTTGACTTAGATTTGAAAGTTATTTGAAATTATGGGGGGGGGGGGGGGGGGGGGGGAATAAGGAATGACAGAAGTGAGAAAAGTGACTGACATAATGGAAGACCTGAAGACTGCTGAAATATGTCATGAGTTGGCTAGATCTTGACTGTGCGTTTTGAAACAAGCTCAGCTGAAAACTAGTGCCGACAGAAGGAACATATACCCCCAGGCAACAAAAGAGTAAAGCAATGAAAAGAAGAACTGCATCCCAATTGTGTTTAGAGTTTTTGTTGCGCATTTTTTTCCCTGAGAGTGTAACTATAAGTTTCTTTAACAGAACTGCCCAGTATGGGAGGGAAGTTTGTCACCGTAAATCTCCGCATTCATTGGGTTAATGACTGTAGACTTTTGAAAATGACTACAATTCTATAGCACTTACAAACAGAACCAAAAGACTTGCATATGGAATTTATTGTACAAAATATAATCGTACAATTTGAGTTCATGGCATAGGCTGAAAGCCACAAATGTGACTCCTTTTGTACATCAAAGGCAGCAAAAAGTTGTTCATCTCTAAATAAAGAATACATTTCAAGAAAAATATAGTGGTGTAAGGAGTGAAAAGAAGAAATACTTTAACAGAAAAATGTGTGTACAGTTCCAATGGATACATTTTATTAGCAGTCATTGAGAAACATTTTAAATCAGCTCTTGAAATGTACAACAACATTCAATCGATGACAATTGTAATCCAAAATGAAGTAGAACAGAAAAAATAAAAAAACTCAATAAAATTGACACAAAGAAATTACTCCAATCAATTGTTTAAAAACATAATTCCCAAGAGAATTCCCATTGCCGAAAAGCCACTGTTTGAAAGTGTTTGCCTCTACACTTATGCTTCAGTACTATAGAGTAGTTCATTGGCACTGATGAATTTTTCTCTACATTCTTAAAAATCTGTCATTTATTCACCCTTCTCTTGATATCCCAACAATCACAATGCAGCAAACCACTGAAAAGGTTGGCCACAGCCAAATTTTGAGGTGATCACATAACAAGTATAAATTCAACCTACTCATTTAACGCAGACATACATGGGTTGGAAAGTATTAGCCTACATTCCACACTGATGTCTTTTTCCTACAGTTTTTAACTTAAGACATAGAATTCACGACTGACTTTCGTTAAAACCTTTAGAAACTTCACAAATTTTCATTATGTGCAAGGAACATAAATTACGGTGATATGCAAACCAACAATAACATGGCCGACTGTAACATTGCTTACTCCAGCGGTTTCAAAGCTAATTCTGAGCGGCAGGTCTCTCGGTAAGTACAGAAAAATTGTTCAGCAACTATTACTATTAACTCCGTCTTTTGCAAACAAACCATAACCTGTGAGAGTAATAACAAAGTAAAAATAGATACAAAAAAGCCATAAATTATCTATATTCATAAACTCCCTTGAAGATGGAAGCACCAAAGAGTCCAGAGATCAGACAAACAAGTAATCCACAAAAGAAAAAAAAGGAGAAAAAGTGGTTTCCAAAGATCCCAGCAAAAGTCAAAGGAAGCCAAAAATGTAATATCATATCATGTACTAAGTTGTTTCCTCAGTGTAGATCATAAAGGTTTCCCAACAAGGAAAAAAAATTAAAGACACTTTCAGTTTAGCTGCTCTCTAATAAGAGTTAAAGGAACGTCTCTAATGAGTATTCCTGTATTTTCACTTTGATTAATCTAAATGCAGTGTCATAACAGAACAAAAGCTGTGCTTCTTTTTAACATAACATCAAGCTGATCAATGTTTCTAACTACTGATCCTCTGAAAGATAAGATAGGAAAGAGAGGTGCACATAAACTCTTTCCATGCTACTTGCTGCACACTGCACCACCAAACTATATGTGAGGCAGCGTGGTGAAATCAGGTGCTTGTCAAAATAATGAAAGTGAAGAAACTGGCATTTTTTCACAGGTTTGGGAATTTTTATAGAATTTTTGTTTTTTGGCTCAACACCTTTTATGTCCTTTAAAGAACACATTTCTGTATGGATTTTATTGAAAAACATTGATTGAAGGCACAAAAAATGCAAATTCTAAAAGTTTTCACCAACTCTCAAGGTATACAAATAACTTTGGCGGTCATTTTCTCTCTAATTTTACCTCTGAAACCAGGTGACCCCCATCTCCTTCAATCACCAATTTTTTTACTTGTACCCAACCTACCAGCTCGCACCCCTCCTATCTCATCCAAACATCTCCATGGACACAAAGAGACAGCTTATCACATCAGTATTCATACCTATATCATGTTACCCCAGTGCCAGACCTGGACATTAAGTAAAACCCATGAAACAAAATTAAATGTCTCTGCAAAACCCTCAACATCACGAGACGTGACAGGCAGAGAAATGAAGAAGTAAGAGCAGTTATCGGCATTGAGTCCTGCCTGCGTTACATAGAAAGACAGAGAATAAAATGGTTTGACCTGTTACGTTTGTCACCTGGCCAGCCAGCCTCAAGAGCCTACAATACCAAGCACTAAGCCTATAAAGGAAGAGGAAGGCCACGCAAAAGGTGAATCAAAAGTGTCAAGGAAACCCTGAGAAAACATAACATCACAACTGAAAGAGCTGCGGAGCTGGCCAACCATAGAAAACTGCATCTCCCCTTGATGCTTAACGGCAACGGAGGATGAAAAAGTAAAAAGTAAGTAATATCCAAGATAAATGGATATATTTTCACCAAAAGCAAGACAAATTAACAAGCTTTAAGATGATACCAATAACTCCACATGCGCCAAAATTGACAAGCGCCTGATTCCACCGCATCATGACACATATAATACATGGAAGGGAGAAAATAATTGCGTCTGGAAAGAGTTAAGAAAAGTAGAGAGAGAAATGGCAGTAAGAAAATAAAAGGGAGCAGAAAATATACTCAAAGACCTGGCACAAATCAACATCATTTTCAACATCCATATATATATATATAACACTGTTTTTGGTGTGCAGTTATCCTGTAGTCTGAGGGCTTTCAAAACAATTTAGTTAATAAGCTCCACATAGTTGGCGGGGAACATGCCATAGGAGCCGTCGGGGGCAAAACCTTGCCACCAGCCATCATCTATCTTCTCGATATTTGTGATGATCTCATCTGGGTCGAAGGTTATCTCGGTGTCATCCGCTGAAACAACAAAAAAATAGACCGCCCATTAATGGTAGCAAGAACTTAAAGAATACATTGAACAGGTATAGAACAAAAGTGTTGTTTCCTCTCACATGATCAGAGTTAGAATTTCTGCTCTTCTCAGAAGTAATAATAATATAAATAATAATAAATAGTATTTGTATAGCACATATCCAGGCTGGACAGCAAGCTCTTTGCGCTTTACCTTTACCCTAAGTTATTACCCCAGCAGACCATAGAACACTGAGAAACATTCTCAGCTTACCGGGAAGCATACAGTGCAAGCAGTTGATTAAGCGCTCAAACACTAACAAACAGACAAGATCTTTCACTGTCTAAAGTAACAAACAGAGCACTCAATTACCCCTGAGGTAAAGGGTTCCCACCTGTCAAACCAAAGAATCTTTTTAATTCCCAGTCCATACAAGCAAGACAGAAACTGAAATCTGAGACTTTTCTGCAACCTTGATTGTTGATAGGTGAAATGGAGACTATCACAGATAATGACAAACACTGAACTAGTTCAAAGACAAATAGAGTCAGCCTGTCTCAGAAAACTTCAAAATTTACCCCTATCCAAACTATAGTAGATTCTCATGAGTATATGTCTAACTTCAGAAACAGCATAATACTGCCTGCAAGGCAAGAAAAAAAACCTATATGTTTTTATTTATTCCACAGAAAGTAATATCACTCTTTCACGCACTGTATACTGTAAAAAAAAAAGGATATTTATACTTATTTTGACTTAATCTTTTCTTGCAAAGAACAGAACAAGTATCACGTAACAGAACGATGACATCGAAACTTCTTTATGCACCTTGGGTATTAATGCTATTCGTGAAAATAAAGTAACTTCGGCAAATACGTAGCACAAGCAAGTATAAAACAGAATTAACTAATTTTTGGTTTCCTCACCTGCTTGGTAGTCGTACAAGGCGCGAGCACAAAGTCCCTGGTCTGCTGTGACTTGGGGGGGTGGGGCCGCTGCCTCCTCCTCCTCTTCCACCTGCTCCTCCTCCACAAAGTGCTGTGTGCTGCTTATGCGATGGGACTGGCTCTCTGCACTCTGCTGCTCTGCAGAGTAGTCCTCATGGAAAGAGGGAACACGGTTTTCCCGGAATGTGTAATCTTCTGTTGATGGCTCTGGTTTAAAAAAAAAAAAGAAAAGAAAGAAAAGAAGTAAGATATGTTTCTAAGCTTAGTTTTGAAAAACGATATATTTCACGATTATCACTGACTTTTTAAATTAGATAACAGCATGCCTGAACACCCTTTACTAAAATTAGAGTAGATTTGACCTAATGAACCAAGAACTTGCTACTATTACTAATACAATGAGCTTCTGGGTCAGAATCAAGGATAACATCTGCCATTCCATCCCAGGATCAACACCTTGACATTTGCCAGAGCCTACATACATCTACCATTGACATCGATTACAATCCCTGTGCCATCGATACCCAGAAGTATCCATCCATGACTAATGTTCTTGACAATCCATCAAATACTGATATCCATTACGATCCATCCATTACTGATATCTATCGTATTGATCTATGACTGATATCCACGACTATCCATCCATCTATCCACAGCTGATATCCACTACTGTCCATCCATTACTGATATCCACAAGTACGTATCCAGCACTGACCGTCCCAGTCCTGGCCCTCTTCCTCAGCGTCAGAGTCGTTTCTCTGCGGCAGGCCCTGTCGGAGCAGGTCTCGGGTCACGGGGGACGTCGGGGATGTCGGGGACAATGGGGCTGGCTCAGCAGCAGGCACGGGCTCTGGTTCTGGTTCTGGCTCCGGCTCGGGAACCTGGAGGGACGAAGAAAACATGATGAACTTTTTCCATTTCTTCACCCATCCCTAGCTAGCACACCTCTCACTGTGGGACTACGGAGCGGACGGACCTGGTTCGAATCCCAGACACTAAGCACTTTTTGGGGGGTAAGTGTTTTACGGTGTTTGCAACTGCATAAGGTCATATGAGCATGCAGGACATGTTAAACATTTTCAGTTAGTAGGAAACTTTTTATTTTGCCCGGGTGGCGGCTGGAGCCTACTCTTATCGATTTTTGACCACCAAAGGATCTTTAAAGTGCACAACTTGCACACTGGACCTCCGAGATTTTTTGCCCTTGTTCGAAAAAGCTATGTGTAGAGCTTACCTACCATATGATCAGGGGTGTGGCTGAAAGACAGCAGTAAGAAGGAGCCAAGGAGTAGCAGTAGAAAGGCGGCAGAGAGAGTCAGGAGCCTAGAGAAGGGGGGCAAAAGAGGTGAGGGGTGGGGGCAGAAAGTGGATACGAAAGCAGGTGACAGAACATTGTTAGAGAGCAGGACAGGATGTGAAAGGAGAAAATTTTAGAGAAGATTTTGTTTTAGTAGGTTTTACTGTGCTCGCAACTGCATAAGGTCATATGAGCGCCAGAAGATTTGAGGTGTTACAAGAGAGTAACAAACATAAAAAAGAAGAAGGGGAGATAAAGACGATAGATGTTTGATAGGAAAGAAAAAGCAAACCACACCAGAGCACCCGCCAACCACCCACACAAAGACAAGTTTGAGTCGAGGTAAAAAAGAACAGTGAACTATTACTTCAGCTTCAGTTTATCATCCTATATCCAGTATGAAATTATTTCATTACGTTCTTTCCTCTGCAAAAGAGTCAGCACATTACAGGCCAGGTTTCACCAGGAACAGACACAAACCACAGAATCACTGACAATATGAAGAAGAGAAAAAAATAACCTGACACTAGAACAAGATCAACCATATGAAGTGTTAAATTTACATGATTTCAATAATGCTCTTGAGTCTCCACTCACCATCTCAGGCTCTGGTTCGGGTTCGGGTTGTGGTTCTGGTTGCCTGGCAGGTTTGGAGGGTGGTGCCTCCTCTCTGGGCAGCTGGATGGGCTGTTTGGGGGCTTGGGGCTCTGGCTGACTGCTGGCAGCTCCAAAACTGTGCTGGAGTTTCCTGGATCAACACAAGACTATGTTAATAATAAATAGCATTTGTTTTGTGCACACCCTGCTCAACAGCAAACTCTGTGCCATTTACAATCGAGGCAACTCCCCCAGCAGACCCTAGAACACCCAAAAAAATGTTATAAGAAAATAATATGTTGACAAAGAGGGAGGGGGGGGGGGGGCTGAGCATCGTAAAGACTTGTAATCAATGTTAAAAGTTTACTGGAGGCAGCTAGTTCAGTATACATCTGATGATTTGCTAACCACTTTTGGAGAAAAAATATTAAAGATTTTTGTCAACATCAAATGACCTGTAGTTCAAACATGCCATAATTACCATTATAGACGGTTAAAAGAGGAATAATAGTTGACCACAGCCTTGAGGGAATAAGATTTATTTTCTGTTTGCTTTCTTTAAAAGTCTAGTATAACTATAGTCTGTTTAATTTGACATCTCTCCTAAGTCCGTAAAAGGAGGGACCAAGAAACCAAGACACCTTCAATCGTTTGCAACCATCATACAAAATAAAGTCAAACTATTGTCAGCTAAACCTTCAATCGGTCCCGGCAGTACCTGGGAGGAGGAGGGCCTCTCTTGGCGGCAGATTCTGGACGTTCCACAGACTTCTGCTTAAAGAAATCTCTGGCACTGCTGCTGCTTTTTGACACCAACTGAGCTGCCTCCTGTATATGACATGATGAATGCTTAGACTCAATTGTTTCAACTATGACAAAGAACTGAGAAAAAGAGCAGTTAAAGTTAAAATGTGTGCACCAATGATAAATAGAGAAAAACGAGTGCATTCTAATTTAGTGAGGTAAATTTCTTGGAAAGCAACACAAGTCACAAGTGAAGTAGTAGGATTTATCTCAACGTTTTATAGCACACGTGCAACTCAATCTTGTGAAACACACAAAGCATAAAACAGTGTATATTAGCACAGATAAGATTACCTATCTTTTTTTCAACCCTTCTTTAATTACAATTCTGCACTTAAAACACAAGACAGTAATTTCTTCAGATATTATGTCGAGCAAACATTCTAGATCAAAGATAAGCAGGATAGCTGGGGAGAAGACAGACTCACTGCAGCTCTTTCTTTTCTCATCTGGTCACTGCGATGACCCCGTTCCTCTTCATCTATGCTGGATTCCTTCTGAATTTGAGCCTAGTGAGGCAAGGAGGGGATATGGAGGAAACCATTATTAGCAGCAAAAGGCAATAAGACACAGTATGCAACTGGACACAGTTAGAAATAGAGTGCAGCACTTTGTATGCCGCAGTACAGTACAGGTGCCAGTCTCCTGGAGAAGATCAGAGGAGTGGACAACTCATCTACAGCATGGGTCTTCACATCTTTTCAGTTTCAATTCAGCATCAATCTTATGACCTGCTTCAATAATACTTTTCACTTACATTATCATCTGCTCATTAATTCAAGGTTAACCTAATCTTTTGACAAACTGAGCGAAAGAGAAGCACACAGTCAGAATGACAGTGTTTTAAAAAGATAACAAACTGATTTTACTCCAGAAAACAAAAGTTAGATGGACCGGTCAGTAGTGCACTCTAATTAATCACTGTGGAAACACACGTGAAGACATCATTGCAACAGCATTGTTATACATTTTCACTGTGGGATTACAACTAACAGTTAGGTTGATTTAACAAAATTACCGACAATTCTGTGCTAAAAAAAGCCAGCTGAAATCAAAACCATTAATAAAAATATAATCTCAATGAATCCAGTGAACAAAAATTCCATGATACTCCCACCTCGAAAAACAAAGTGACTATGATACATTTTACACATATCTGTAGTTATAACTGTGGTAACAAAATGGAATTCTTAAAAAGTCAAGTCAGTTCAAAAGAGATGTCCGGTGCTTTACACAATGTGAAATATAACATTAAAACAAAGTTACATTTCCTCCCGCTACCTGTTGCTATCACTTGTCAGTCACTTTGAAATACATTCACCTCTACCCTGAGAGAAATATGTATTTTTCATTAAAAAATATTGAAGTGTTTGTAAAATGATGATTAACACACAGCTTTGGTCCTTTTTTGTGAACAACATAAGCATTTAAAACACAGATTCTATTCTAGTACACATAATGCTACATTTTTTTAATAAAACAATAGTTTATAAACAACATTTCTTTAGGTGTCTATGGAAATCTATGAGTAAAATCCATTAAATCATCATCTTATTAACAGGACAATTATTTTTTCCCCCAAAGCGTCAAACAACCACCTAATACAAGTACATCAAAAAGGCCATTCATTCTATCATTTATCTCACCCACAACTGTGTACATTCTTCACATTTTACAACTAGTAAAGACAGAGAGAGCTTAAGTAAAGAGTAATGAGAAGCCTTTCTTGACTGATCACAGTGGCATAAAGCCAGGACATGAGGCAGCAAGGTTTTAGAGAAAGTGTTTGTAAAGCAGAGACAGACAGAGAAACAAACAAAATCAAGACAGTCAAATTCTGACATTGACACTGGCCGGCCACAAGTGTTCTGTTTGAGGAAAATACTTCATAAAAAGAATAGCACTTGAAGGTCTCAAGTGAAGCCGTAAGAAGGATTAATCAATTAACCACATCTTTAGGCAGTTAAGTGCACCACTTTAGCAAAGGAAAAAGGGCTGATATCTGTGGAATCTTTAATTTTCTCTCTTTACAATGCTAGCTACTCAAGGTCTAAAACTTCTCTAGCTCCTTGGATGTTAAAGGTAATCATCACTTCATGATGGACGAACTATTATAAAGAGGGAGCATTTGAAATATATTTCTAATCTTATAAGAGCACTGTTTAAGTTTACCGAAATACACAATAAAGCATCCTCTTATTCGCTAGATTATCAGTATTCAGTCTAGATGAAATATTAAGTGTAAATTTTATCAGCACTACTTGACAGAATAAATGTTCCAACAGCTTCATCTTTGTGACAAAATATTCAATTGCTTCTAAATTGAAACTTGCAACATGGTGTAACACAATTATAAACACAGACAGTAACAGACAAACAGGGATGGGTAGGGTGAGATAAAGGATGACCAGAGGACAGAAAGTATTACATGCTCCTGAAAAAATAACATTTAATGTATTATTAAAACTTAAGTTATATAATTATCGGATTTGCACAGTCAGTACCTATACACTCTGTTATAATAAGCACCTCAATTTACTTGATGTGAAAGAAAATGATTTTAGACTTGATATATTTTCTAACAGGATTAATATTTAAAAGAGCTGACAAGGAACATTTTATGCTAAATAAAAATAATTTGAATCACAAAGAAATCCTATGTAGAATGTTAATGGCAAATTATCAGTTGTGTTGGGCTGAACAAAAAAAAGTCCCTAGCCCCACACTGGCAATGGCCACTCTAGAAGTGAATTTATTTCAATTTCTCAACTAATTCTAATACAAATTTCTTTGAAAACTTCTTGTAATACAAAGTCATTATTTGGTCACTATTGTTTCTTGTATGAACACAAAAGAGGGAGTCTGGGAACAATGGCAAACACACAATGAAAAATAGATGTGAAACTGTTGGACAGGTGCAAGATTGGCATGAGCATGGACCACTGAAGACATAGTTGACAGGTTCACACTTCCATGAAGTTTAAAGGATGGGATGCACTCAACAATGATTGGGGAAAAGGAAAACAAGGGAACAGACAGACATATATGCCTGCAACTCAAAACAATAACCTGAGATGTCACCCAGAGTGTGAACTATACTCTTCCAAACATGTATTGCAAAGAGTGAAAAAAAAGTGGATCTGAAATGCTCAGCAGCTCAAGAAGATACTGGAGAAAAAAAGAAGTTTGCTTTCAGTAAAAATCAATTAATCACAAAAGCTAAATTTTGTACAGCTTCTCGGTCTAATTTAAACCCCATGTAATGAAACTATCAAAAAACGTTGACACATACACATAAACTTATTGGCCAGTTTATGAAATAACCTTCCAACAGGATTCTTGGGGTAAACTCAAGAAGTCACAACATTGGGTTTTTTTGTTTGTTTTAGAAGAGGTTTAAAGGCGCTTGCAACAGTCACAACATTAAGACAGTCACAAATTAAATGCTAGCAAAATATGTCAACCAACATCTGAGTACACATTACACAACTGATGAAAAGTCAATAAAATAATGATACACTTTGTCACTATGTGTTAATCAGGAAGACACAGAGTACTCAAGACACAAGAAGACAAATGATCTCTCTCGGCTACCCAACACAGTTCAACAATGGAATTACTGAAAACATTGACAAACATTCCACACCACTTTCACACAAAAAAACTAAAAACCACGCACGAGTTTCTTACCCATTTTTGTTTCTCCATTTCTTTATTCTGTTCAGCAGCTTTTTTCTCGGCTTGTCGCTGTTTGCCCACGTCCCTCATGTGCTCTGAAATGCGCTTCTCACGTTCTTTTGTTTCTCTTGTCTGATTACAACAGCAGATACAAACAGATAACCATGATGAATGTGCTGACAACTGATAGGGAATGATCAAGAAATTTACACACAAACTTCAAACAAGCAAGGCATCCAATGTGGGGAAGGAGAGGAATAGGGGGTTTGGTGAAGGGCAAGATGTGAGACTTGGGTATAATAAGGACTGAAATGTGGGTCTGTATACTTTTATCATCCACAAAATATAAGCTTTTGACATTGTTGATAAAAAAAAAACATTATAAGCTGTATTTGAGGAGGGTTGAAGCATGGACACAAAAACATTTTTTTTCTCGTTCAAACAAACTAAAAACATGGCAAGGATGTGGGAAGGTGGAAGGGCATTCAAAGTTAAGGCTTCCACCTCTGGACTTGCTTCTTGGGGTTTTGCTTCCTCAGTCACCTGAAATTTCCGCGACATAGCTGCTTCAATTTATAACATTCAAAGGCTGACACACACAGGCATATGATAGATAATATATTTTGAAAATATCGTTAATGAAAAAGCTTTAAAGAACAAAACAACTGCAGTCTCAGGCTAAAACTTTAGAGGAAAGAACCTAGCACACACAAATAAGAATTCATCTACCATATCAACTTATCACATGGTAATTAGCAAACTTTATAAAAAATCCAACTGCTATCGCCTACTGAACAACATGGCTACATGCACAAGTAAATAAGGAATTTTCCTTTCTACAATTGCCATAGGCTTTAGTTGTTAAAATAAATCTGTAGCAAAAGGATCATAACCATCTTTCCCACACATAAGACAACACTATCAACCTTTGTTGAATGGAGTAACACAAGTCTTCAGGCCACAGGTTGAACAGAATTGCACAGCCTAGGTCAGCTGAGTCTTATTTGTTCAAAACAATCAGAAACAAAAATACACACAAGTACAACCAAAAAGGAAAAATAAGGCATTACACTTCTCAAACATTTGGCTTTCCATCTTCAAGAGTCAGAATAACAAGGGACAATGATAATATTGTTGCTGTTGCTACTGATCACATTATGCCCAAGCTTTCACTCCTTGATTCATTGACACTAAATGACACTTGCAGGTTCTCTTCAATTGTTTAGTAGTTTGATTGGGAGCACTCTCTGGGCCTGATAAGCAAAGGAGCAGGGAAGCTCCCAAATAGAATAGTACTAGACCAAAAAAAACTGAGAACCTACATGAGTATTCTCAAAGCAGGAAGATTATATATTCGCTTTGAATGTCCAACCTTTCAGAGAAAAACTGCAGCAATTACTTTTGAAGTACTTACCTCTCTTTCTTTCCTCTCTTCCTCTAACTGTTTCCTTTCAGCATCAGATCTCGATTTTTCTGCTTGCTGTCTTGAAATTTCATCTTTCTGAAACAAGATTTCTTCAGCTAGGATTTACAACATAAATCTGTCGTACAGGCATCAATGGTAGACTGTAATAACAGCTTGATCATAAAAAGAGGGGGAAAGATTAAATACATTTGAGCACCCATCAACGACTAGCCTCTAAACTGACATTCAATAACAAAATAGTGTTGTCAATAAAAATGCCCAGACACAGCAAAAATGGTATTAAACTGATAGTGTTTTCTTACATAACACTCTCTCACAAAATGACATAACATGCAAAAAGAGTTACCAAAAGCAATCATAAATTATACCCTTTAACCCTTTGAGCCCTGATCTCCTGAAGCTACCATGCCTCTCTGCCTGAACTCCTGAGCAAATATTACGAATATATATTCATATGATGGTGAGATCTCATTCCATTATATCCCACTCAGAGTAGTCCTCGTCATTACCAGCATCTAATTTAGAAAGAACTTCAAAATTATTAATAAATTCCTGTGTAGTAAAGTGCGCGTTTTGTCACAGGCGAGCTGGTTTGGGGAGAGGGTCTTGCCCACTGCTGTACCAGTGGCTAGGTATATGGGCAATTTTACGCTCCACTGGTGCTCAAAGGGTTAAGGCCAGATGAGTAAGACAACCAGTCCTGAAAGGTGCTGTTACTAAAGGACTGAAAGCAGCAGACAAACTAATCAGGATAATGCCTTAACGTAAAAGTAAAAAGTAATCTACACCACGAAGAAGGAGAAGAACCAAGTAAAAACATGTTAAGTAGATAGATCTCTTTAGCACACTATGCAAACAATATATCAAGCACATTTAAGTTATGTCTACCATACCATAATGTCTATTCAAGCTAGAAAATCTCAATTACTAAAATTAGAGACAAAACATTAACAAATTCTCCATCAGGGTAAAAAAGAAAAACAAAGCAAAGAATTATAAGTGACAAACCTCTGCCTGAGCCCAGAACTGGTCTCTATTGTTCATGTTGATCTCCCTGGTAGGAATGATTCGTTTGTAATCAGTACCCTGTAGACAAAGAGTTTCAAAGCTTTAACACGAAAATGTTTCACAACAACTCTTTCTTTCAAGTATGAAAAAGTATTCAGTTGAATCGGTAACCTATATATAGGAACAATGTAGAACACTTTTAGTTAACCTTACCATTTATAGATTAAAGAAACATGTCTTAATGTGGCTTTATGATTAATCCTGAATAACATACTTGTCTATCCTTGTGATAAGAGGGACAACAACTAAGAAGAATAACAAGGAGGAGGAGGTGAAAGAGTTGGAGGAGGAGGAGGTGAAAGAGTTGGAGGAGGAGGAAGAGGACAAAAAGGAGAAAAAATTAACTTTTACCAACCCCAAAGTCTTTTTTCTAAGGATCACTGTTAAAGCTACCATGTCAACATCTCCCTTGCGATATCTATATCCGTGCTATGAACATATCAGATCTGAGTCAATAAACTACAAACTACTCACCACTAGATCTGGAGCTTGCTGAGGCCTGGCCTTCTCTTTGTGGAAACTGTAGTTTGCCCCAGATGATTTGGCCACTCTCTTCATGATGTCATCAACATCAATGTCCTCTTCACAGCGAGCAGGCACTGTGATGTGAATACCCTGCACATTGAATTAGAAGGAACATCTTACATTGCAGGATGGTTTAAAAGAAGACAGCCAAAAGTTTCTGTAAAATAATAAAACAAATACAATGTATATCTTATTGTACTATTTCATTTTTGCATGACTGTAATTATGCTCTAATAGACAAAGTAAGGTCATGTTAAAGGTGAAGTACACTTGGCCTGGTGGTTAGAGTAAAAGAAGTAGAAAAGAATGAAAGCAAAGATCTCTCTCTCTCTCTCTCTCTCTCTCTCTCTCTCTCTCTCTCTCACATTCAATCAGTCAATCACTGACACTCACTGACACACAGACAGATATATATAATATTATATATATATATATATATATATATATATATATGTGCGTGTTCCTCAAAAGCCTTACTGCCACACATCACAGCTTTACACCCCTATGATCAGTCGAGACACAGGGTTTTTCCACTAATCCACATCAATGGAGCAATCTTTCAGAGAGTTCATGTGTCATAATGTGGTGGAATCAAGTGCTCGTCAATTTCGGAGCATATGGAATTATTGGTATAATCCTAAAGCTTGTTTATCTATCTTGCTTTTGGTGAAAAAAAGTACCTATCTGTCTTGAAAAGAAGTCAAGACATTTGCGATTGAAAGAAGTGGGGGTCGCCTGGTGTTAGAGGTAAAATTAGCCAGAAAATGTCTGCCGTAGTTTAGTGACTTGCAAAGCTTGAGTGTACATGGAAACAGAAAATGTACGCTTTTTGTGCCTTGGATCAATGCTTTTAAGTAAAATCTTACCAGAAATCTGTCCTTACACGGACATAACAGGTGTTGAGCTAAAAATAAAAAAGTATTAAAAACTGCGCTTGGGGCGGAAAGATGTCAATTTGTTCAATTTCATTATTTTGACAAGCACCTGATTTCACCACGATGTGACACACATACCAAAGTAAATCACATAAGGGTATAGTATATAGACGTTCATGGGCATCATTCCAACACTAAAGGGTATGAAACTCCTAGAGAGTAGTAAATACTGCTATAATTAGTATAAAACTGTTATGTGTTCTTGCTTTTTAAAAAGGTGAGAATGTAGTACATACTTCCCTTAGCTCAGACTCCAATTTATTACTTACACAACCAATCTCATCATTCTCTTCTTTAAAAATCAAAAGCTGCAGCCACATATTTCAAAGAAAGTGAAAACAACTACTGAAATTTACCAAGTTCAACTTATCAATATATTATCAATGTCTGTTGGTGGGTGGGGGGGGAGAGTGTTACCCTTCCACTCAGAGCAGTAGTGGCAAGTACTCCTCAATATACATGATGATGGAACCAAGAAGAAACAAAATAAAAAATTAATAAATTGATCCCTCCTACATCTATTCAACCTTCAACCAAAAGGCAGCAGATATCAATAAACTTATACCTATTGTTACGGTGATGCGTGGAAAGGGACATGAGAGAAATGAAATGAAGCTCACTTGGAACAAGCTTGGAAGGATGGCTCAGGACAGAGATAAATGGAAGGAGCTTGTATGTGGCCTATACCCTGCCAGGGGTGAAAGGCATTGATGATGATGATTGTTACGGTAACCAACTTACTCTCAAGAATGCTTGGACATCTCGCAAGTGGGATGTATACTTCAATTTCAAGTTTTCAGGGACACTCTCACCAGTCTGGGGACAAAAGTTGCAAAAACTGTGTCATATTTCATGGGTTACATTCTTTATCATTAAATATAAAAATAACAATCAAAATGTTGATCAATCTGTTGGTAAAAAAGAAGAGCCTGCTGGATATGAAGGTAAAACAAAACAATACAAAAATAACCTAAATATGGCTTCTCCGTTACTATGATAAATTATTTTGCCATTTAACAGGACCTTGGACTTAAAATACAAACAGATAATTGCTACAATTGTAAATTAATATTCTAAATACTAATACTTTTTACACACATGATGCTTCTTTACTGTAGAATCTATTAAATGTTTCAAACAATACACACATACCTTAGGAAACTCGAGATAGTACACTTAAATATGAATGAGACTGAATGAAGCAGGAAAAGTTCCCACAATAAATTGTGTCAGGTATACAAAGAGTAAACTTCCACTAAGACAAAGAGAGCAGAGCAATGCCTATTCTACCAAGGCATTATGATATCTCTTAACAATCTAATACTAATACAATGAAATCATGTTTTTCGAGTCCACTGTATACAACATAAATAATACAAAGTTACAGAAGAATCATCAACTGATGCTTCACACTTTTAAAACTTGGTATTAGTACTCACCCAATGAATGAGCACATATTTCGGCAAGGAAGTATTTGGGTCTGTCACTCTGCAGTATGCATACATCATTTTTCCACTGCTGAGGTCCTCAGCCATTTCTTCGATGCCTCCATCTTTAAAACGAGACACAAAAATAATTTCTGATGAAAGTGAAAAAAAAAAAAATTTTTTTTACACAAATGTTTTTACAATAAAAGAATTATAATCAAACAAAAAGAGTATGACATGGCTCTGCATACTTCAATTGATTTTATTTTTACTTTCTAGCTTAATCAGCTATATAATGCTACATGTTGCACTGGCCACTACATATCAGAGAATGAAGAGCAGGCTGTCAACTGCAACAGCAGAGGTGTAGATAATAAATAAAGTAAGAAATAACAATCAATATGTTGGAAAAGAATAGGAACAGCAATCATTTCAGTACTCACCCCCTGTACCAACAAGTTTCAAAACTGGAGTTTGCCCTTCATATCCATACAAAGCCCTGGAGGAAAAAAAGCAGTTAGAACTGTTTACTCTGTTTACAACACAGAAATGATAAGGCCACAGTAATTAGTCTACTAACAGACATTCAAAGGAATATGGGGAGGAAGAAAACAGGGGGGGGGGGAGGGGAGAGGTCGGGGATTGACTAACTGTCCTTGTAACTGGAACATCTGATCCAGCCTTTTTAAGAGTTCTAAATCATGTAATTTATATGCTGGAAGCAGAAGTATGCATTACTGAACAGTCTAAGTTATGGAGGCAGTGTTAAGAGAGTTCAATGAGACATGTGTTTTATTCAGATATATAACAATATAAGTATGTCACTCTTTAGGAAGAGGCAATCCTGTAATTCTCTGGTCGTCTAGGCATGGTTTTTCAGGCTTTTTACATGCTCCGACGACCACAGAAGTGCCTCGGGACCGGTTGCGAACGACGATAACGATAACCTGTAAGCACACAAGTTAGTCTGCTTTGACTATGAAAGTTAATTTTTACGAAGATTATTGGCCACATTCCTTTCACTGTTTTGAAAATATGATAGCATAGACGTAGGGTAACAAACACACTAACAATGTCATCACTTAGAAGCGGCCCCCATGTGATTTTTCGGCCTACTTTTATTAAATGCTAGGGATGAAGATGACGAATTATTTCCAAATTTTTGGTTACTCTATGCGAGGAGTTGGGAATGAGGGTTGTGTCCTGCCCCCCAGGACAGCCTGGCGGGGATCTAGAGTAAGCACCAAACAAACTTAACACTAAGACTAACACGCATGTCATTTCCTACATAGGAACATCATCATCGCCAACATAAATAATCATCCTCATGCTCACTATCACAATTACCATTACCGTCACCATCGCCAACAACATCATCATCATCAGCAGCATTATCATCATCATCATCATCATTACCGACTCAACAATTCCCCTTTCATATAACAATCTGCACCATTACTTTCTTTTTATGTAACCAACAAAAACGGGCACCAAAATCAGGACACGGGGGAAAAAAACAAAAAAAACACAATATAAGTATGATAATTTTATATGCTCATTTACCTAAAAACCTCTACTTCTCAAGCCTAAATATCCCAGCCTAATTTTGCCCTTGTATAACAGTAAACAGATGGTAAAAATAGACTTTTTATAAAGTCATAATCACTACTTATTTGAAAAGACAAGAACTGGGGTTCAAACAAAGTCATAAAACGGCAAAGTATGAAAATTAAAATTAAGCTCGGTCATCACTCAATTTCGTTTTTTTATTTAGGCTTTTATAAAAAATCAAGTCTTGGTTTTTTTTAATTGGTCTTGCAAAAAAGAGCAACGACTTCGAAGGATGTGGTGGCTTCCACAGTCTAGAAGTTAGTTTGTTACTGGTTTTAGTTTTAGCGTCAATAAAATGGCAGCCTGCGTACTGTACTGTGTATAGTGTATGCTTCAAATGCTTCCCAAGATGTTGAGACTGATTCAGAATGCTATTTAATCTGGTCTACTGTGGTAATAATAGGCCCTATAGACTGTACAGCACATAAATTGCTGTTGAGTGAGTGAGAATTTGCACTATTAGATTTTAAAATGTCACTTGTTATTACTAGATCTAAGTCATGAGTACCCTCAATATGATTCTATGAATTGTTGGCTCTCAGCTTTTTCATATTATGGTCCATAATCGTAAAGGGCGAAGCATGCAGAATTTTTCCATCACACTCAGTGTCAGTGTCATTGAGATTTTAAAATGTCACTTGTTATTACTAGATCTATGTCATGAGTACCCTCAATATGATTCTATGAATTGTTGGCTCTCAGCTTTTTCATATTACGGTCCACAATCGTAAAGGGCGAAGCATGCAGAATTTTTCCATCACACTCAGTGTCAGTATCATTGAGGTAGCAATTATAGATAACATAACATCCAACTCATGGCCATTTTAAAAGGTAAAATTGACATAGATCTAGATCTAGTCTATATTGAGATAGAAATTTCCAAGTTGGACGTACAACTTTAGAATCTGGGTCCGATCTGTTTAGACTTGGCATCATCCACACAGAGTACTGGATATCGATACTGATTTAGATATTATCGATGTTCTATCAGTAGATCTAGCCTACAAATTGAGCAATAAAATTGTACTTGCTTTTAACAAGGCAAGGGGGGTCTTGCCCCCCTGACTCTGACCTAACAAAAACATGGAGGGGGGGTTTGAGGGGGGCATGCCCCCCGGAATGAATGTGACCATAATTTGATGTTTTTCAATTAGGTTTGATAGGTTATCTCTCCATGATATCAGCACGCACATCAAAAAGTAATCGTTTAGAACCAGAAGTAATTGTCATAGGAGTCAAAACTATTATCCTCAAACGGGAACCAGATTCTTAAGTAGAAGGCCCTCCCCAAGGTGAAGAAAAGAAAATGTTTTTTGAATTTGTGTCTAGATCTAGATCTGATACTAATATCTAGATCTAGATCTAGATCTAGCTAGATCAAATCTAAGTCTAAACTAAAGTTGATTTGGATAAACAAATTCTGAGCAGCCATTTTTCAGAGAAAGTGGCTATTCTCACCCGCCCGGAAGTTCTCGCAAGATCAACTCTTCCCCTCTTCTTTCTCTCTCTGTCTCTTTCTGAATACTGTCTATCGGTGTGGACGATCAAATTGACCAAAACAAAGTTAAAAAATGATGTTAAAACACAAAAGTAAATTAATTTGGTTGTCTACAAAGATGCTACGGCTATTTAACTTTTCGAATCGAGCCGAACTACGCGGGTCGCCATTTTGTTTTGCCCCGAAATTCTCGCGCTACTCCTCTCTCTCTTTCTCTCTCTCTGTCCACTGCCCACAGTACAGACAAAATTGTACGCTTTTAGTAGGCTACAGTTGAAATGGAACGTTTGTTCACAGCACAGAATTCTACATTTTTTCCTCACAGTGTAGAATTCTATGGTTTAGGGTGAACGCGCACCGGGTGAGAATAGCCACAAGACTCGCCTGCACTATTCTCACTCCGGGTGAGAATAGAGGTGGCCTTTTTCAGACTGCTAAGCCCTCCTAAGCCCTAAGCTAAAAAACATCAGTGTCATCAGCAATACTCAACAGAAGACAGATAGGCCTATCCGGAAAATGAGACTCTATATATAGATCTATGTCAAAATCATTGGACACAGTCAGCACATTGGGGAACATCAAAGTAAACAAGGAAAGTTTACCAAACCTTAGAACTTAGAAGTCTAGCAGAGTCGTCGGAGTCGTAATTTGGAGGTGTGGCAAGGTGCCGGTTATTTGTTGTGCATGTCTTATTATTATAAACACTAGGGCTATTAGACAAAACAAGTTTATTTACAATCATTAGCTAGGCCATACCAGTCAGTGTCGTCTTTATCATCAAAGACTTGTTCGTATGCCTTGAAAAGGGAATCTTTATTCTTCTTTAAATCCACAGCCATGACTTCCTTGTAAGTACCCCGCACTTCCTATTCGAGGAGTTTGGTAGGAGTAACATTTACGAACGCCCGACCCGGAAGTGGTATAAAAAAAACATGCTAACGACGTCACGAGTATGTGTGTACACAAATAAATTACACAAGGAAGATACACAGAAAAGCTTTTATGCCAATTAGGTCTATTTCCCCCAGCCCTTTACACGACAATAAGCTGTAACTTTTTACATATTAAAAACTCATAGTTACTACTTCAAATCCTCAAAACGTCAAGGTAAACATAAAGTAGCATGATGAGCAACAAAACATTGCATTATATGGTAAACTCTCTGTCCATTTTCCAATTTCTTTAAAGATGAAAAGCTTTCGCGTACCTGGAAAGTAATTTTCGCGAATGCTTGTTGACAAACTGCTTTACGCTTGTTGGGAGAGAACCAGGTGAATTAGGCCTAGCCCTGATGGCTTCTGTTTCTTTCATTGAGAATCATTGGACGTTGTGGACTGAGAGAACTAACGAAAAAACCGTTTCACAGATAAGAATTTTTAAGCCTTAGGCCAATGACTGCTGTTCACCGCTGAAAGGTTTTTTAGTGATGAAATTAATAAAATAGCGTATTTTTATTTGTGCTTTTTTTTGTTTTTATTGAGGTCAGCTGTTTCTTTTGATTGAGTTTGAGAATTGAGGGGTTGATTGTTTTGTTTTTATGTTCCAAGAAATATGCTAGGCTTACATATATGTCATGTCACATGTGTACACAGATAAATCTAGGTCTAGAATCTATTCAATTTTGTTGGTTGTTTTTGTTCCTTTTGTCATTTTTCAATCTTGTTAGGCTATAAAAAGTCCTACCAAGTCGTGTTTGTTGTGTGGTTTTTGTTGTTGTTTTGTTTTTGGTGTTTGTTTGTTGTTGGTTTTTTTTGTTTTTTGTTGTTGTTTTTTGTTGTTGTTTTTTTGGGGGGGGGGGTATTGACGATGTTTCAATTGTCTCTTGACTCTTAGAATGTCCCCATCATGCTCGCAAGCTCCAGACGGCCAGGAGATTCTAGAATGATCTAGTCTGCATTTGTCGCGGCCACGATTTTTTTGGCATTTTTTGTGGTACGCATACGCATATATATAAATATACCAGCCACAATTTTTGCATTTTTCCCCACAAAAAAAACTCATCGCGGTGGAATAAAAAATCCTGCCCCCCCCCAAAAAAACCAACCTTTTTCTCACTTGTTGACAGCTCGTTGATTTGTTATTTTCATGTTACGAATGTAAACAAAAATTACATTACCTAGGCCTACTAGTACTACATGTATTTATAGTGCTGTTTCTCTTTTATTTTTCCCTCTTTGTTGTGTTTTAATTTGTGTGTTAAATTTTTTTTCTTGTTATTGTTCTGATATATATATATCTATATGTTGTGTTTCTATTTTTTGTGTTTACATATCGTAATGTCATTTAATTTGATGTTGTTCCTATCTTTTTTAAAAATACAAATGTGTTATGTTAGAGCGTGTCCCCACCAAAACTGAATACTGACTCGGGCAAGCCCCTTGTATGTGATTCCAAAATTTAATATGCAATGTCCTGTACTTTTTCTTGAATTACTATTACACACGTTTAGGGTTAAAACAGCCAATCTTCGGATAGGTGGATGCATGCCTTTATTTATTAATGTTTGTGGTTGTGTACGTAGATGCTGAGACTAGGTGAGACAAGGTGCCCGGTTACCGTGTATGTAGATAATGAGACAAGGTGCCTGGTTACCCTGTACCGTGTCCGTTATTCTTTTTACAAGTCAAGTGCTTTGTTCACAATTTACTTCTATTGTTTCAGTGATAAATTTTTGTTTTCACTCCCGTACTCAGATGCACTGTTTTGGAGGGTCACAGGGCTTTATTTTTTAATATGCTTAACTTATATATATATTTATAACTATGGCAGTCTATGGCCACTAAGGCTGACACAGTCGCAAATCAGCCTCAATCACCCCCATCCTCCCAATTTCATCAAAAGGGCAAAATATCAGACAATTTTTAGGCTTAGTGTAATAATATATGATTCAATTAAAACCCTCCAATATTTTTTTTAAAACTGATAGTAAAAGACAACATAAAGTCAATATTCATGTAAAATTAATTAAAATGGACAGTAAAACTAGACACTGTACAATACCTGAGCACAAGACAGAAGTGAAAGTACAATATAATACAGTTATTTATAGCAAATCATGCTTTGCTTTTTTTCAGATCCAACTTCATTTAATTGAAATTGATTTGAACTGTTAAAAAGGTTACCTGAATTACTAAAAAGATTAAAAAAACAAAAGCTCCAATAACTCTATATGCTATTTCTGACATGTACGGAGCCGATAATTCAACCCATAGTTATATAACTGTACGTCAGCTCTAGTCATCAGTCTGGTATTTTTTCAAACCAGAAATAGTGTTGTTTTTTGGGGAATTCCATGATGCAAGTTTTAAATCGAGCAACTAAATTTACAGCCGGGCTTCCGCTAAAAAAAATATATAACTTTTTGTGTGGCCGGTGAATACCAATGGTGTGCAAGCAAGAGCAAAATCTTGTTCGAGTAAGTCTAACAATTTCTTCAATGAAAGAACAGTTAAATCTCACTGGAACAGTGGCATGAGACAATTGTCAGTTTGTTGACAGCTACTTGCATGGTCTCTACTAGAGGCCTATTGTAGGGTTAGAATTGCAATAGGTTGAAAAGTTTAGAGTAGCTACTCTGTTTGACACCTGATAAGATTTCCAATTTATATTCATAACAGAATTAACCTAGTGTTGATGGTTGATTATATCAGCTGTAAGTTTCATCCTCTGGTGTTGCAGCAGATTTTTAAATTGGGCATAATTTGAGTTGCTTTTCACGTTTGTTTTTATTCTGTTTTATTATATCACCAAACATTGAGTGGGCTCTACTTCCCATTTACGTTTAACTTTCTAAAAATGTAAAGGTTTATTTGGCCTTTACTCACTTAGTTTGCATGTTCTAGAGCTTTTGCCAACATAATATGGTGAACATATTTTTCCTGACACCACAGCACAGGCTATTGCTAATGGCAAGTGGAGGGTATATTCCTGGATAGCTGTTCGACATACAGTAGCCTCCGTCTAAACGCACGGTGCTCGGAAGAGCTCTTTAGCATGTGTTTATACGGAGCGTGCATTTACATGAAGCTGTGCAAAAGGAGGAAGGGATGCAATTATCTCAATTCCTTGATATTATAGTGTGACCTCCTTTGGAAGTGGGGGTCAGTTTGGCAGAAAATGTGATGATATGTGACTGTTTTGTGAAAGATTCTCCGACTACGGTTAAGAATACAAAGGTGTTGAATGGTGGGGGGGCAAAAAGACAGACTCTATGTAATGATATGCACCATAAAATGTTGGGAACAGATAGCCTAAGAGGAAACTGTTGGTGATAGTTATAGAGATGACAGCACAGCCACGTGGCTATCCAGGCGACTACCCCCGACCATAAATTCATGGACGACATCTGAATCATAGATCTCTACATTTGTGTCATGACGTGGTGGAATCAGGCTCTCGTCAATTTTTGAGCATGTAGAATTATTGATATCATCTTAAAGCTTGTTCATTTGCCATCCTTTTGGTGAAAAAAATATTCATCTATGTTGATTTAAAGTCGAGATATTTGCAATTGAAGGAGATGGGGTCACCTGTTTTCAGATGTAAAATTACGGAGAAAATGGTCGACAAAAGTTTGTTTTTTCCTTAGCTTAAGAGTCCGTGGTAACTGAAAATTTACATTTTTTGTGCCTTCAATAAATGTGAGGTGTGCTGACAAAATGAGTTACTTCTCGCAATCCAAGAATGGAAATATCTGCCAAAAATCGACACTGGGGGTCAGATTTACGGATTTTCAATTGACGCCATTTTCTTCAAGTTTGCAGTGTCTTTTACTATTTCATACTTACAAATTGTACAAACTTCACCTATAAAGTTGATAAATCAATTTCCATAAGGTTGAAATCCGAGAAGTAACTCGTTTTGTCAGCACACCTCACAAATGTTTTTCAGGCAAATCAACACAGAAATGAGTTCTTTAAAAGGGCATGAAAGGTGTGGAGCAAAAAACAAAAAATTTGATAAAAATTCACAAACCTGCGGGAAAATGCCAGTTTCTTTACTTTGACTATTTTGACGACAGCCTGATTCCACCACGCTGCCTCACATTTAGAGAAATATTTTTCTTGTGATTTATTGAACAAAAACATTTTAAGTTCTTCGAGCGCAGCGGATTAGGCTTACTTGACTAATCTTTAATCCTATAGTGGCCTATCTAGTGTTTTACAGTCTTTTATTGTAAGATTACAAAGCTCTTTCTTTTTTGATTTGATCCTTTTTCTTCTTCATAATTCAGTTCCTAATAATATTGTCTAAAAAAAAATTCACAAATTAATTTACAAACTAAAGCATGTATATTCTTGAAAGTGCATGAAGTTTGTTATATTTTGGGTTCCAGTTTTTTCTATAAATGGATTTTTTGGTAGTGTCAGAGTTTGGCAAAGTTCCCCCCTCCAAAAAAAAAAAAGAAACTTGATCTTTCGTAAACACCTTGAATGTCAAGGTCATTGTTATAATTTGCGTATGATCATTGTCATTATCTACTGATGTATACAATAATCTGTCAGAAAATTTATAACCATTGTGTTTTTTCAGTGTTCAAATCTTGAATTTTACATCTTATACTTGTTTCCTCATGAACACCTGAACATTTTTGGTAAACACATTGATAGAAATAAGGTTAAGAAATGGATATCATCATCATCAATGCCTTTCACCCCTGGCGGGGTATAGGCCTCATACAAGCTCCTTCTATTTATCTCTGTCCTGAGCCATCCTTCCAAGCTCGTTCCTAATGAGCTTCATCTTTCTCATGTTCCTTTCCCTGTATCTCCAGGTTTTCCGTGGCCTGCCCCTGCCTCGTGCTCTTGTGGGTTCCACTACAGTGACTGTCTTGTGATGTTTCCGCTGGGCTTTCTTAATGTGTGTCCCATCCATCGCCACTTTCTTAGTTCTATTTCTACTCCTATATATCCTTTTGTCCTGTACTTTCCCACAGCTCTTCATTTCTTATTCTATCCTGCCACTTTATTCTTAGAATACTCCTCATACATCTGTTGATGTAAGTATGGACTTTATTCAGTACTGTCTTTGTTGGCTTCAAAGTTTTGCAACTGTAGAGGAGCAGAGGCTTGACGTTGGAGTTAAAGAGTCGAAATGGATATGGACAGCACAAAATTGCAGATCCAATATTTATTTTGTTTATAATTCTTTTATTGGTTTTTTTTTTTAATTTGAAGGCATTCTTTTCAAATTGTTTTGACAGCTGAAAAATGGCCTTCGTAGGCAACAAATATACTATATATCAAGACAACTGAGTGACTCTAAAATGTCTGTTTTAGCTAAGCGTGCAATGAGCAGTAATGCACTCTTCTATTTTGTTGCTCAGGTTTTGTTGAAATTTATTTGAAATCTAATTTTCAAAGTGTATCTATTTAACAATTTCTTAAATTTTAAATATTGTTAGATCCCTTCGGTCTTGGAAGTCACAGTCAAAGCTCAGGTTTTTGCCCTGAACTTAATCTGAATTGTGTCGTTTTCATCACTGAAAAACCTTCTTGAACCATAGTTAATATATGCCAAGTCCTTAGAGTTTAAGAACTGGGAGTACTTCCCTTGGCTAGCTGGCTGGGATAAAACTGGAATGTGTGCTGAAGGAGCCTTGGAGAGGCATGCCTTCGCTATGGTGGTCTTCATGAGTACAAGCTCTCCAGTATGTTATCAGAATATCAAGTATTGTTTATTCCTGGCCTTGACCTCGCTTTTTATTGTATTTTCATGATTTCTGTCACTACTAGAAAAGAAAATAACTTCTTCTTTGCTATATATTATATAATATATATATGAACCAGGAAGAGTTACTCTTCATTCACTGTGTCACCTTAGACTTTAAAATATTTTTTTAAAACAACTACAATATACTTACATTCATGTAGAACTTTTTTTTAAAAATCACACATATATATATATATATATATATATATATATATATGTATGTATTTTTAAAAATTTAACGCTTTTTGTCTTTTGGGGTCTGCTAATTACACATGCTTACAGAAACAAAAAATGTGTACCCATACAAAATCTAGGTGTGCAAATAACAAACTTTGATTGGACAATACTTTTTCAGAGAAAAAATAACTTTAAGTCATTCATTGTCAGCAGAGCAGAACAATAATATGATTATATAAAGATATAACCTTGGAGTAACCAAAATAGCCCTAAGTGTTCCCTTTGTTCCGCTTGAGCGATTCTGTCCTTTATATCTTGCTGAAGATACTAAGCTGGACAGATCAGGGCAAGGACATACTGTCCCTCTTGCTTTTCCCTATCTTCTATCTGTGTTTCTCTGTTGCTCTGTCTCTCTCTCTCTCTCTCTCTTTCTCTCTCAATTTTATGGTTTCTCTATCTCTCTCTCTCTCTTTCTGAAGTCTTTGTCTTTCTGTTTCAGTCTGATTCTCTCAGTCTCTGTCTGTGTCTGCCTGTCTGTCTGTCTCTCTCTCTCTCTCTCTCTCTCTCTCTCTCTCTCTCTCTCTCTCTCTCTCCCTCCCTCTCCCTCTCCTTCTCCCCTCCCTCCCCTCCCTCCCCCACCTGTCTCTCTCCTGGGTAGATTTGTCTAGTGTGACAAGGAAGATTAGTTTACTTGGCCCTGTGCACGACCTCCCACTTCTTCCACCCCTCCCCTTCCCCTTTTTTTCCATGGCTCTGTCAAGTAGAGACAAAGAGTGTGCCCAGGAATGGTACTTCATGGCAGGTAGGTGAAAGGGAATGGAGGAGCAGAGAAAGGAGGGGTAGCCTGGGGAAAGATACAGACCAGGAAGAGTTTAGACAAGACTTCTCTTACCTATTGTGAGACCTGTTTACACTTGTTGCCTACAGGGAGAATGCCTTTGTTGTGACTTGTACACAGGTGCTCCCTCAGGGAAAATTACCTACTTTGTTTTATTCTTACTTGCCTGTGTGTATTCAGTATCAAGTAAGTGCATCCCAGATCTCATTGTGTGCTTGATGGCTGAACCTACTTGTTCTGTTTTCTGTGTGTCTGTGCATCTATAAACAGCTATTATTCTGCTATAAATTTCTGTGTGGAGATTTTTATGGTGTTTCTGTATCTCAGTTTTTACATCATTATTATTCCTGTGTCTGTTACTTTGGAGGATTTTGTTAGATTTTTAGAGTTAATCAGTAAGAAATGTAATGTTATCTTCATTTCTAAGTACATTTTGTTATATATTTAGGTGAAGGAGATGGGGAGAGTGTGTGTATGTGTGTCTATATTTATTATTGTATACCTCACATTTTGTATTTCCTTTTGTCTAGACAGAGCTGTGGAACTGTGTGAGTAAATAAACTGCGGTTCAAATGATCTATGAGCGCTGCCCAATGGGATGAGCACCAACCATGGTCAATCAAAGTCTGACCGGCTTTGAAGAGGTCATCAAGTGTGTTATTGTGGGAGATTCAGGCGTTGGAAAAACATGTTTGAGTTGTGCGTATGCCTGCAATGCTCAATACAACTTGCAGAAGTTGGTGAAGACTCACCAGGCAACGGTGTGGGCGACTGACCATTACCAACATGACAGGGAGGTTAGTTGAGGTCTTGATTGTTTTTGAATGATGTGTATCTTCAGAGAACTCAGCTTATATTTGCTTCAAAGGCCATTGTTTCACATGGTACTGTCTCTCTTTAGTTTTCTCATATCTTTGTGATGCATCTATCTTCTTTTCAGTTTTTTCAGTTTAGTACAGGGTTTTACGGCGCTCGCAACTGCATATCTATCTTCTTTTTTGATATTGCTCTATTTGGTCCTCTGTCACACTTATCAGCTGTCTACAGGGTCAGCTTTAAAACCAAAATCCAGGACACATTTCTAATCAGATTTGAGGATCCTATTACCAATTTTTCCAGACCCTTGTTTTTGAAGTTTCACACGGTCTCTTTGGAAATGAGGAATCGTTTTTTGTTTGTGTTTATCTGCTAAATGAAGGTTATAACTTACTTTTTCTTTATCTCTGCACAGTCATAAAAAGCACATTAGCTTTTAAGTTTGTGTATCACACAATTTGATAGCTGAGGCTTTGTTAGCATCAAGTGTTAGAAGACAAATTGGCTGAATAGAAAGGAGAAATAACCTTCTGTATATTCGAAGAGTTAACAATACTAAGAGAGGTATGTTTGATGAGCACCATGAGTAGGAAACCCTTAGTGACCCTTTTCAGACTTTGAGAGCCTTTTAAATATTACTTTGAAAAGGACTTCATTTTCACTATCTTTCCTTCTTTTACTTTTAGCCTGACTTTTTTCTCACAAGTACAAAACTGCAGACCAATCAGTTGCAGATATCTGCACAATGCATGCTTTGACAGCATAGACAAAGTGAAGCTACCCCCACCTTCTCTTCTCTCTTAAAAACAGAGCTATATGTCATTGTGTTGACAAGGTAAGCTATGGTTTCTGGCAGGTTGACAGCTGAGGTCAAGGGTCACTTTGGAGATGACAGATTAGTCCGACTGGGTCAGGGTCAGGGTTTGCCTACCTGGACAGTTACTTGTCACAAATACCTTCATCCAATGTTTTCATCCTGGTTAGCTGACTTCCTCTAAGTGCAGTTAATAATATGTCCCAGCTTTTTTTGTGTGTATGTGTGTGTGTATGTGTGGGTTTTTGTGTGTGTGTTTCAATCTATCAGCTGGGGGTCCAATCGAGCAAAAAGTAGACCCCTCAAATCTCAGCATTCAAATATTAAAAATTCATATCTTGTAGGGCAATAAACTCATGTAAAGGGTTCCCCTGTTCTCACTTACATCTTTCACACACACAAATAAGGTCTCCACTGTAAAAGTTGACTTATTTTGATTATCATATACTCAAGTGACATCCAATCATTGCAAAGCTGTCAATTCTGACACTTGTGAAAGCTCTTTAAAAAAAAAAGACTGAAAGTTATCCACTGACCATGGTTGCTCATGAGCCTAACTCAATCAACTGAGAATAGGAGGTAAACACCTTACTTGTTTCTTTTTGATTGAGAAGCTTTGCCCACCCTGCCCTCCTACCCCGACACTCGCTCAAAAAAGAATTGCTCATGATCTTTTGTAATATTTTCAGAACCAGCATCTCATATGTGACTGCAGTGTGTGTTATTCTAGAAGACACAGTTTTCTGTTGTAATTACCAGGCACAGCCATCTTTGTGATATATGAGCATGTCTGTGTGTATTTTTCAGATCTTGGACAGATCGTGGTGTGATATAGATGGCTGTCAGGTGTCGATCCGGTTGTGGGACACCTTTGGCTACCATGACAAGGACAGGAGATTTGCTTACAGGGGGTAAATGATTTAGTAGTTATTTTGCATCAACAAAAAAAGACTTGGGTAGAAATATAGATTACCCCCCATCCCACTATAGCAAGCACGGTGTAACAGTTTGTGGAACAATATACAAAACACAGAATTGATAACGTAACTTAAATTTACTCAAATCTGTCCTGAAAATATTTCCTTTTTTTAAAAATAGAATGAATGAGAATGTCAGTTGCATTTTGACAGTAAGTTGTGTGGTTGTTTAAACCTTGTCATTTATTTCCAAAGTGTAAACCATAGTCCACAAATTGTCATGATTTATCTCCCTGTTTCAGAGCGGATGTCATTGTGTTATGCTTCAGCGTCATGTCTCCTGTTTCTCTGAAAAACGTGCACCGCATATGGCACCCAGAGATCCGTCGCTTCAGCCCTGGAATCCCGATTGTATTGTGTGGCACACAGGCCGATCTACGCTACATGTGCCACGATGAGAATTATCTCAGTATGGAGAAAGGTTTGCTGTACAGGTGAGGCCAAGTCTTAACAGGGAGCAAGCAGAAGAGGGCATGCTATACAGAGGCTTCACTGTGAACCTTTTTTTGTGTGCATTGTTTCTGCTTGTTTTTTGTTTTGTTTTTCCACGATTGTGTATTTTATTTTCTTACAACCTCTTCTGCATTTTTGTTATATTCAAGAAGTTATCTACAGACTGGGCTGGTAGCTATTTTGCAGTTACTGCCCCGAGTCTTATAAAAAGTGTCACTAGTGAAGTTTTCTATTCACCTGGGAACTGAACCAGACATGATTTTTTAAGTTGTATTCTCAAAGCAGTTTGGAATATTGGCCTTGCTCCTGTCATTTTGCAGCCATGATATCCCATTGCTGAAAAATGTTTCTTCTGCATTTTATGTGATATATAATAGCTGATGACACTGAGACAACATCTATTGCATTCTATTTCATCCTGTTAACCTGTGAGCTGTAGTTTCTAATAGCTTGCCAATAGTGTGTATATATTGCTATTGGTGAGGTCAGACGCCACGTCATGTTTTTCATGTAATAGAATACTTTCCTTTCTTTTTAGCCCAAGTTTGTTAAAGAATGCTGATGCACATTTTTGTATGACTACCTGAGGTCAGTATTTATTTCAAGATTCTGCAGCCCGGAAGAAAAACAGTTATTTTTTGTTCACTGGGACATCCAATTAAAATTATTGCATTTGCAGATAGAATATTGGTACCATCATGTTTCAAAAGGTTAATAACTCTAATTCTGAGAATGTGGGCAAGGATGACAAGAATGGTCCTCATAGGGACTATGTATATCTTCTTCTTGTAGCAACAAATAATAATATATGGCTTTTATGTAGCACTCAACCACAATTAAAGTACACATTATGGAGAAAAGAGTGCTTTACAATAGAACAGTAACATACAATCTTAGGACGTATCTGTTTGTCTCATGGACGTCTCCTCTCTATAATTACATTTCCCAGGCATATTTCTCCAGAGGACCTCATCACACCAAGTGTGGGGCGTGAGGTAGCCAGAGACATTAGCGCCCCCTATTATGAGACAAGTGTTTTGACACACTTTGGTGTTCAGGATGTGTTCATCAATGCAGCCAGAGCTGCCCTTTTGGAGCGGCGCAAAATAAAATTCTGGAACACACAACTACGCCGCATACAGCGACCTTTGCTGCAGCCACCCATGAAGATGCCGATTCCCACCGTACCCCGCATTCAGATTGCGAAACCCCTGCTCAAGTCTGATATTTCTGCTCTGCTCACCAACAAGTCTGAATGTGATGTGACGTTCTTAGTCGGTCATGAAACCATCGAAGCTCACAGGATATGCCTCACCGTGGCCTCCACGTTCTTTCAAGATCTGTTCTCCCTGGAATCACTGGCTAAACTGCCAGCAAGACGGAGGAGGAAAAACTCACACTTGCGACGTCAGTTTCCAAAGAGGTTCAGTCATACAGACAGCGAATTTTTGCTTGACAGTGATCAGGAGTCCCTAAGCACTGACACCGATTACGACTCGAGTGTGCAAGGTTCTGCAGGTGACAGTTACCTTGCCAACAACTCAACCAGTGGCTCTCGTCTAAGGCTTCCCTTGATTATTCCTTACGATCACCGAGCAGTGGAGCTTATTGAGATTCGTTATGAGGAAGACGCTGTAGACCCGAGTCACCGTTGCTTGCAGACGTATGTGCGGATGTGTGAAGAAATCTCCGCTCGATCCTTCCATGTGGTTATTGAGTACCTCTATACAGGCAGCCTTCGACCATGTGAGGTGAACCTAGCTCAGGTCCGGAAAACTGCTGATTTGCTACAGGTATGTAAATCTTTAACTAGTAACATCTCAATGCCTTGCTGGAGGTCACTGTCCATTTTCTTAATTACGTGATGAGATAAAGAAATTCTCAAGTATTTTGTTATATATCAAAACTGACATAGTCATACCCTCCTGGGACAACTAGATATTTTACCACTTCAGAAAAACTGATTCACAGGTTTTTTACATTTGTTTTAATGACTTTAATGGTAAGGACAAGGAAAAGAGAATCATTTGTTGGTTGTTGTGTTTTTTTTGTGGGGGGGGGGTGTTTTGTTTTTTACTCGAGCTCTAAGTTTCTTCTCAAGAGAGAGTGTAATCTAAAGTTGCTGAAAAAAACAAAAGACAACTAAGTCTTTGAATTTGAAAAAGCTGACTCTGAATACTTTCAACAAGCTAAATTTTCTTTAAAAATCTGTTAAGCTTTTAGAGAATGGGAATTCTCTATAAATGCTTTCTCACCCCTGGTGTCTTGAGCTCTTTTAATTTCTCCTCAGCCTTTAGCTCTTTAATGTTTCATTCATATCAAAGATGAATGTGCTTGTATGAGGGACAATCTTGTTAATTCTGGTTGGAATGTATCTCTTGTTTAGAAAGCTAACTGGAACAGAATTGGGCATTATATGTTTTGTGGAATAATAAGTTTTGAATTCTTGTAAAGTTTTGTTGGTCTTTGCAGTACAGACTTGATATTTGGAGTTGTACTTTGTATAACTATGGTAAAGGATGATAGACCCAGTTCTCTAGCCCTCTCTCTTCGTTGTTTTTTGTCAGTGCATGTAGAAAAAATTATGGGTGATGGACACATGAAGCATGTGTTATCCATTCAAAATTCTCCATTGTTCTTTCTAGAATAATTGATTTCAGATGTCTTGTACAGTGAAACTCAGATACAAGGAAGGCTTTGGGTGGGGCTCATTGCGGGTGAAAAATATGAAGCCACATCAGTAGGGGCTGTTTGCTCTGCAAGCAACTTCGATTTCATTGAGTAGGGAGTTAAATCATTTACATGTTCCATAAATAAGAGTTATTTTTGTTGATTGTAAATTGATTTTTTGAATTGGGGGACTGTTTTCCTTTCATTGAGTCTGAGTTTGTTGAATGGGAGTTAAACTGTATGAGTAGTGCATTTACAATTCAGTCGAACGTGCCTTAACGGAAACTTGTGTAAAACGGAAACCTGTCTTAACGGAATCTCCCCGCTCCCCCCCTTGATATATTCCTCTTTAATTACCTGCATAAAACGGAAACCTGTCCAACGCGGAAACGGAAAGAAAAATCCGCTCCCTTCTGAGGGTTTCACCTGTCTAAGACGGACAATGCTTTGCCCGCTCAGCCCTGATTTGAATCAAAACTTGCAAGTTTGGTTCTGCTGGCTCTAAACTTAACACCATGGCCATGCGGCTGGGCAAGGAAGGGGAGTAGGGGTGCAATGGGGGTAGAAGTTACCCCATCTTGTGAGCCCTGAGCGATACAGATGGTCAGTGTAGTGTGGGTGTGATATCTCACGACTGCCCGTGAGAGTGCTCAAGTAGCGAGCCTCTACGGAAACTTTCCTGGGTAGCCAGAAGCCAGAGGTGTGAAATTAGATTGACCAATGCCTGCCACCCTGATCATACGGCCAGCCGAGAAAAGAGTTCCTCGAATTGTTGTTACATTGATGGCAGTGACGGGTGGCTTTGATGGGTGGGACTACGGGTGGAAGCCAAGGAGATGTTCAAACATTTCTGTTTTTAATAGGTCAAACAGTGGTCCTATGAAACGCAAGCACTGGTGGTAATTGGATACGTAAGACTGACGCATGTCACTATCAGACAGGATAGCAGCTGAGAGGTGTGAAGTTTTGACCACTGCTTGCTGATCGGACAAGTGATTCTTGATCCCGCCGGCTGGGCCTTTGAACCCCCCCCCCCCCCCTCCACCTCCCCCCTAAATTCCCCTGTCTAAGATGGGAAAATGTCTGAGACTTAATTTTTTTCCCGCTCCCTTGCGATTCCGTCTTACACAGGTTCGACTGTATGAATAAATGTGTTTTGGGACAGGCCACATTTTGCCTTTGGAATTGAGACAGGCGACTGAATTATGTAATGCTTGTGGTCTTCAGGTAAATATTGAGAGAGTTTACATGCTCTGAAGTATTTTGTAATGAAAGATGATGATCAGTTTGTCTTTATATATTATACATATGTATTATGTGAGTCATTCTGAATGTGATGAGACGGTAGGGGTTTTGACTGAGTAGAAAAAGGTAGAGGACTTACCTCGGAATCGGCTTGTTCACAATCCAAAAAAGTTGACCCTTCTCCAAACAATCCTCACTAGTCACCAATCTCCTTCTCCCCACCCATGTCTATAAAATTTACTTCTCAGCAGTAGAATTTTACTTTTCCCTTAACAAGCACAGCTACTTCTTTTGGGGGTTTTTTCATGTGCACATCTCTGTATTCACCACTGAAATGAGAATTTATCAGCACTGATTTGTTGTTTGTGTACCAGTTGACAGATTTGGTAGTTGTCATTGATAACGTGCTATCAAGCCAAGACTTCCTCAACATCGAGATGGACAAACAGTTTCATGAGAAGAGAATCTTCAAACTTCGAGAGCTGGCCTTGCACAAGGATTTTTTGTCTGGTAAGGAAAAGTTTCTTGGGTTTTGTCTCCCCATCAAACTCCTTCCTCCTATCCCCCTCCTCAACTGTCATTACCATTAGTCCAGCACACCAGCTCTCAGGAAAAATTGTTCGGTTCTTTTCAGTTGTAGCAAAAATCTACGAAACTCCAGCCATTCCGTGTTGTCTATAATTGAACTTAATGTTCATTTTGATATTTATTTTATGCAAACAGGTTGAATAATTGCCGTGTTATAGGGAAATTTGTGATGCTGAAAAATTCAAAGACAAAATAATCAGCACACAGATGTAGAATAGTCTTCTGTATACTTAAAGTTAAGGGAACATGACAGTCAGTGGGGATAGGATTTACACAAGTTTATGCAGTTTTTACTTAAATGTCAGCTGTGCAGTATGTGCCTCCCCTCTGCTTTATTATGGTAACACAGAATTAACAAGCCATCCTAGGAGTCATTATGTTTGTCTTCTTTGAACGGGTTCCCACAAAGAAAGATTGTAAAGCTTCATGTTAATTCATAGATTTCTGTCGTACAGATATCACTTTTGAAGTGGACAATGGCTTGGTGTCTGCCCATAAAGCCCTTCTCATGGGACGCTGTGAGATGATGTACGCCATGTTCAGCAGTGATTTTATTGAGTCGGCGTCTGATGTTGTGAGTGGTAGTTAGAGTATTAATATATACATATATAATACCCAATATTTGAAAATAACAATATCATGCTGTTTTGTGATTTCTAAAACTTGCTGTTTTCAAATTCAAAGAATGGAAAAACTGTGTGTGGAGTTTTTTTATAACTTATATTAAATGCAAAAAGACAAAAGTATAATTCAACTAATTTGCTGGAAAGAAAGAGTAGTAAATGTTGACCATAACAAGGCTGAAAGTGTTTTCTAGCTGACATTAAGTAAAGAACAATGAGCCTAAATTCTTCCTCAGTTTCTTTCAATTGCTGTCCCTTTATTCAAATTTTAAACAGTATGTTAACTTGAGATGGAATGCAGTTTTCATCAAAATTTAGAAGTGGTGTAGGGAGAGTTTATATATAGTGCATGAAACTGTAGACTGGCCACTTTTACTCCCTATTGCAGGCAGTTTAGGTCATTTCAAAGGCTGAACTGTTGGTCCTCAGTTTTGACTCTAAGCTGAAAGAAAAGGCATCATCCTCTTAGATTCGAACCCTGGAACTCTGCGTGTTGGCCAAGCTGATCTCTCATCCTGGTCATAATTATAAGTTGCAACATTGGACTTGCAAACAGTTAATAGTTATTCAGCACAACATGCACTAGTAAATTTTCAATTGATCAATCACAAACTTGTGTCTCAAAGGGAAATGCTTTGAATGGTGTAATTTCTTTATGTTTCCTTTATCAGTGTCTTACACTTTCACTGGGTCAGTACACTTTTCTTCTACTTAAATGAAAACTTTTTTTCTATCTCTCTATTCTTTGATAAATGCTACCAAAATGTTCTTAGTTTGATGTGCATATCATAATCAGTTAAACTGTGATAGCATGAATATGAATGTCTGCGGATGTTGAAGGCTTAATCTATCAAAGAATAGAGAGATAGAATATATATATACATTCATGCACATGTATTTTGTGCTAAGATGAAGATGTGGGAGGTTGGTGGGTGCTCTGATGTGGTTTGCTCCTTCTTTCCTATCAAACTTCTGTCTTCTTCATCTCTTCTCCTTTTTTTCGTATAAAACTCTTAATAAAACTGAACTAATGTATTTTTAAAGTGTCTGGAGATGTATTGTACAGGAGTGGACACTATGGAAATGATCTACATTATCACTGTATACAGTATAACCCGGATAGGTCGAACACAGAAAACTTAAAATCACGCATCCATCGAACTGTGCCTGCGGTCGCGGGTTGTTTTTTTCTTTTTTATCTTTGTAAGAAAATTACTCTAAGCTCGAACACAAACACGGAATAGTCTAACTAATTACGCCGCCGTAGAGGTCTAAAGTCAATGTCCTTTGTGTGAGGTGCACTTGAAACAAAACAATGATAATAATTTTTACAAAGGGTGCTACTTGACACGCATGCTTAGGCTTGTGTGGAGCGGGCGAGAGGAAGGGTTGTGCATCACACGACCTCTTGTTTTTCCCCTAAAGTAGCAATCTTTGTTGCTTCCCTTGATTCTCTGACACAGCCGATGCCATAACATTGTACACGTACCTCGAACTACGGATCCCTCGAATGACTGAGGCCGGTCCCGACAAATTCAAGCTATCCGTGTTCTACTGTATTATGACTTTTTGCTGATCCTGTGTCTGTTCCTGTTTGTGTAGATCCCGTTCCCGGGCATCACGGAGGAGACTTTCCAGGCCCTGCAGGAGTACCTGTACACGGGGGAGTCGCCAAACATGGACAGCGTGGATTGTCTGGCTCTGATTGAAGTGGCCAATCGCCTGTGTCTGCAGCGTTTGGTCAACATGGTGGAGGCAAGGGTGGTGACTCAGCTGGCAGCGTGTGAAGACACGGGAGAGCTGTTGACAGATGCCCTCACTCTGATACAACCTGCTGAAGTAGGTTCACGGGTGTGTCTTGTGTATGTTGTGTGTTTGTTTGTTGTGTGTGTTAATGTTATGCTTTTTTGTTATGAGTGTGTGTTTTTGTTGTTGTGTATTTTGTGTGTGTTAATGTTATATTCTTTGTGTGTGTGTGTGTGCTGTTGTCTACATTGTTTGTGTTTGTGTTATGTTCTTTGTGTGTGTGTGTACTATGTTCTTTGTATGTGTATGTCTTGTGTTGTTATATGTATGTATTGCATATACCATGTGCAGTATGCGTTTTGTCTTTAATTATTAATTTATTTATGTGTTTTAGTTAGTTTTAGTAGAGGTTTTACGGCGCTCGCAACTGCATAAGGTCATATGAGCGCCAGAAGATTAGAGGTGTTACAAGAGAGGAACAAACATAAAAAAGAAGAAGGGGAGATAAGGACAATAGATGTTTCATAGGAAAGAAGAAGCAAACCACACCAGAGCACCCGCCAACCACCCACTTTTTATGTGTGAGTATCAGCTAATAAGCAAGCTTTCCTCCTGTGCCAAAGTACTGGGTTTGCTTTTGAATTCAACTCATGGGACAAAGAAAAGGAGGGAAAAATATTATGTTGGGAGAAAAAGAGATCATTGAATTAAATTATAGTTTCGATAGGAGCTTGATTGGGAGAAAGAGATGTGCATGGTTAAAAAGTGTATTTCGACAAGGGTGCATGAACTTGAAGTTGAAAGATATTCTTGTATTTCTCTTTCTGCCAGCTGTACAATGCATCTCAGCTGTCGCACTTCTGCCAGCACATCCTGTGTGTGAACTTCCAGGAGGTGGTGCAGAAGTATGCCTCGCTCTTCCATGCTTTGCCACAGGACAAGCAGGAAGCAATAGAACAGAAGAGATGGCCGCCTGTCTGGTGAGTGGGCGTGTCTTAGCAAGGATGCCAAGTTTTGAGATTGGTCACTATTTACTCCTGTCTTATAGTGAAATTTCGAAAATGTGGGGGAGTGTTTGTAAGCAAAGGGATGTTAGTTTTGCTCACTTTCTCTGTTATCAAAATCCTTGATTTTCAATATGGAGTCATGCTACTTAAAAAATCCTATAAATAACGTTCAAGATCTGCCTATCAGTGTCGTTGTTTAACCAGAATGATGGAAATTGATAAAGCAAGTTTCCTGCAATGTGGGCTGGAGCCAGCTTCTCAGTTTGTACTATTAGCAGAGTACATAAGTGTTCAAGAGTATTTATGTCCTGCGATTTCAGATTGCTTAATTTAGAAGTTTTGTTTCAAATTTTCACGTTCACATTAGTGGCCAATTTATGGTCCCTTTCAAGAATGTCCTAATTATATTGCTATCAGGCTATGTTTGTACCCACAATGGGCCTCTGTGGGTAAAGTGAAATCAAAAGTGGCATGTTTATTTTTGTGTACTGTGTTCATTCGTTTTGCACCTCAGTCCTATTCACTGAGACAGATCTAATTGCATATTTATAATGATTCAGCCTCCCAATGAAGACAAAATCCTACACTCATAATGTTTTCTTTTAAGAGAGGAACTCTCAATCTTTTTGGTACGGTAGGCAGCTTAGTGATGTTTGTACCTTGAAGGATCAACATATTTTTTTTTCATCGTATGTATAATGCTTAGCCCAGGAAGTTGTAACACTGTCAGGGTCTGTCGGTCCCCAGGTACCTGAAGGAGCTAGAGCGCTACGATCGTTTGACACAAAGCCACTCTCTACATGGCACACGACACGCTGTGCAGGACTACAACTCCCGCTGCGGCTGTCTCTGCTTCTCTCGACGGCGAAGACACAGACTGATCGACCCTGTGGAGCTTCCAATCTGAACCTCATCAATGAGTCATGGCTCTGGTCAACTGTGAAGTAAACTGTAGGAGAGTTACTTCTCCCCTTTGATGCATTGAGGCGAGGAGTGTTGCAAACGGGTCTTTTCATAAAGACGTACATAATTTCCAGAGAGAAGGAAAATATTTTTGACACAAAAGACAGGTGGAAGAACTAAAATTTAGTCCCCAGCCTGTCCCCAACTGGTCTACTTCACTGATGAGTTTTTGGTGATAAAAGTTTCACTCCCTTCTTGACACAATGTAGGTCATTTCAAAGTTAGAGCCCTGGCTTCCCCTATTAACACATTACACCCTAAGGGCCTGGACGGGAAGTCCATTGTTAGATCCTAAGCAAGGGGAAAGAACCCACCTCCCGTGAATACAAGCGTTTAAAAAACACATTTTAAAATACTAAACAAATTCCCAAAATCCTGAAAAAATAAAAGTTAAAAAGAAAACTGAATGTAGTTTCAGAAAAATATAACTTTGTGTTTGCGCAAATTGTTGGAAATGTTCTAACTTTAGTTCAATCGGGGTGTCCGACCCCGTCACTCTCACTCTCAACCTCGCGGTCGGGCCCTAGATCTAAATTCTAGATTTTCTACGTCTGATCGATCTGAATCGCCCCAAACTCTTGCTACAACGTTTTCATCAAAATCTGAGCCATCTGATTTGTCACACAGGGTTCCCGCGGCCTCCTTGAATTCAAGGAGTCCTTGAAAACTGCTTGAATTTGCATTCAAGGAAAAATCTCCTTGAAAACTCCTTGAATTTACATTCAGGGAAAAATGTCCTTGAAAACCCCTTGAATTTTGCCCGATCGGACAGGAACACAGGGTGACTGCCAGGCCCCGGGAATCCCGGGGGCACCTGAGTTCATTTTTGCCGGTCGCGATTGTGATATAATATTCATTCGGCTTTTCCCTGCCCGAGAGTATGTTACCCGCGCACAGGCGGTTATGGCGGCAACTAGTTGAAGTGTATGTGCGATACCGAAGCTCGATCGGGAAAATCAAGATCTGCTTTCCCTTTCGTTACCGCCCAGAAATTTGCAGGTAGGGCCTATAGTAGTCTGATAACGCCACCTTTGTAACATGCAGGTTCTGCTTTACAAACGCGGTGTCATGAAAATAAATCATTTGTCCTGTGCTGTCGCTTGTGAAAAAAAAAAAGAAAGAAAAAAAAATTATACAATAAGCTTCTTGTCAGGCTCGCCATCGTGACCGGTCATTGAACCTGTGCGTTTTCGTCACATCGTGAGTATCGGCGATGGTTGAGGTCACCAAAGTTCATGCAAAGTCTGAGCGCTGCAATGTATAGGACTCGGGAATAGGGGGATTATTGATTTTTTTTAAAGACGCACGCGGGGGAGGGGGTTGGCGGGATGGGTTTGAAGGCAACACCGGATGACAAAAACTGAACTTGGAAGCAGATTTTACTTTCCAGAATTTTGATTGCTATTAATCTAAATCTAGATCTTGATCTCTCTGCAAAGTGCGCGTTGGTGCTGGCCTTGTGTGGAATCAGGATCTGTCTCACTCAAACCTTGTAAGCCTGGGGTTTTTTTTAACTAAAGGGTTCCCGTTTCTTTGGGCAGGTGATAGTAAATTATATGTATTGTACTATATTCTATATAAGCTTTCTGTTCAAGATTCGCAGATTTTCAGTGTCACTGCATCTTGCCCTCCCACAGTTAGTTCTTACACCTCTCACACTGAATAGGTCTAGATCTACTTGAGCCATTCATGTTGTTACTCTACTTTGAGTTTGAACTATAATTTTTGTCTTTCACGTTTATTATATAATTTCTTTGACTCCCAAACTGGTTCTTGACGGTCGATATTCTTGTTTTTTTAAAAATCTTTTCTCAGGGTCAAAGCAAGATTCATTTTTATATAGTTTATATAGGCGAATATGATGAGGGGAAAATATAAATAAGTATAAGAACAGACTGAAATACTTAAGTCACACAGTATCCCAGTGCCACACTGACATGTTGTTGGCTGGATATAATGTGCCTACATGTGTGTGCGCGCGCGTGTGTATATTATATTATATATAAAATATAAATGGAGCATGCATGTTTTCATTGTTATGTAACATACCCTGGAGAATGGATGAGCCCACCTGGAAAATTGAGAAGCCGGGTTGGCAGTCACCCTGGGAACAGTTTTTATTGGAAATCGAAACTATGATATGATTCCTTTCCGACAAGTGTAGGCCTATCGAAAATAGGCTTTCGTCGTGAATATCTTGACCAAACCTCCTTGAATTTTAAAAATTTCTCCTTGAAACCTCCTTGAATTTGATGGGAAGTTCATGGCAGGAACCCTGGTCACATGCTTGTTTTTGCTCAAATCCATCGTTATTTCCGTTTTCGAACTCAATTGTGTCGCTTTTCAACAAGTCAAGACGCTTTCGAAGTTTCGGTAACACGATCGCACTTCGATCAGCTCTAATACTAAAACTACTGGCCCGAAAAATTTCGTTTCAGTATCAAACGAAAGAAGAAACTTTTTGCTATAACTATGCAGATCAAAATCTCGGCCCCAGAGTCTCGTCAAGGCGAGACTTCGTTTCTAAAGACGCTAGGTCGGCGCGGGCGGTTCCGGCCGAGTCAGGGTGGAGCGCGTAAGGGAATTCGCTGGCGATCCCGGGCGAGTTAGGGTGTAATGTGTTAAATCAACTCAAAGAGGAGAATTATTCCAGGAAGGAAATCTAAAATACTTTGAACATAGAATATCTGCATGACAGATCAAGTTCATTACCAAATGCACCTCAGAGGCCAGCATAGATGAGCTTTTTCCGAGACCGTTCAAACAGTGAGTAGAGAACAGACAAAGGAATACAGTACGCTAATCAGTGTGCAAGAAGATGAGGGCTAAATTTTTGTTTTGCCATGACATGAAATATCAAGACTTGTATCATTCTGCATCCCTTGTTGAACAGTTTATGCTTACTATATCCCTTTTGTTATTGCAAAGAAAAAGCATTGTCTAATGATTGCGTCTCGCACTCGTTCTTCATGGTGTGTGAAGTCTTGCCTTATGAGTTGTATCCTGACTGATTCGACATCTTCATGAGCAGCACGATGGGTAAAGAGTTCTCTCTGGTACAGCTGTTGTAGACTGGGGACCTGTTGCACTTCTCTTGTATTACATAACCCTCCCATGACGCAATTGTCCCCATTGCAGCGTCCATTCTTGTACCCTCTCTTGTACGGTAATACAGCACAGGGTCTGACGCCTGCTCACACATGTTTGTGAGCTGTTTAGTCTTTCAAAATATGACCACAAAAACCATGGGTGGGTAATGGGTGCTTCTTTTTTAAAATTATTTATTGTCTGTTGTCCTGCTTTATCCCAGCATTAAGTGACCAGTATTGTGTTTTTCCTTTACTGAAGAAATTGCAATAATTCAACTTTTTACGTTAAAGGATGCTCAATCACTGTGCAAAGTCACAAAAAGTCTCCCAAATAGCTTGCAAGTCAGTGTTGAGCAAGACATGACTTATAATAATAAGGCATCTCTTAGAGGGTAGAAATAGAAACCTAATAAAAAAGAAATGAAATTGATTCCACCCTGTATTGCTAATGCCATGTTGCGTTAGGGTATTGAATAGAATGTAAAGTCGGATGGAAATGGAGAGAAGGATTCGTACTTGTTGAAAGAGCTTAAGTGATCAGGACTTGAGCTGTGTTGTATCCTTGCAGCGATATGACATGAACATTGGTAATGTACTTGGGTTGCTCTGTATTGATTGGATTATATTCCGATCGTTTAATGCACAAGCCCTTCTTTCTTTCAAGAGTACCCAATTTGTTTCAGCTTTATTACTTTTAAAAACATTGCTTTAAAACAAAGAAATATGACTTCGGTGGCTTCAAGTGTCTGTGTGTGAAGTTTCTATCATGCTAGTTACTTTTGATCAGCATTGCTTGGGTTAGTCAGTGGTACCATATGTACTAAGATTATGAATTTGAAATAAAGTTCTGGGCCGGCGAAGTAAGAAATAGTACATCATGTATTGTGCTTTTGTTCTCCATGGCGAGTGAAGTCTTGTGTTATGAGCTGTAACCTGACTGATTTGACATCTTCATGAACATTGTTGGATTGTAATGTCCAGGCAGGGGTCAGTCTTGGAACTTGATCAAATGAAAGGAAAAAATGAAAATGAACTGCAAATAGTATGTGATAAGCAGTTATGTTTTACTACATGTATATGATTAGCTGCCTTTTGTCGGGCTTCTGATTTGGTTGATGGCTTTTTTTGTGATTTCACCACAGTGAATTTATTTGTAGTTGTAGAATATGCAGCATAGTCGTAGAATATGCAGTACAGTGGTATGAGTAAGCGTTTGAAAATACTTCACCTGTACAAACAGAACTTTGATTCACACTCACAGGGTAATTTTTATGGAAAGGGTAAGAAAAAGATCTGAACGCATTCCTTGCCACGATCAAGTTTATCTGTTTCTGTAAAGGAATTCTTTTGTTTGTTTCGATTTATTGAAGCATTTATAAGGTATGCATTTGAGATGCTTGGGTAATATTAGTAATAATAATAACTGTGTCCATGCTGTACTTTTCATTCAGTCATTCATTCCCGTTACAAGCCTTTTCATCCCACAGGGAGACAATGTGGTGCCAGATCAAGGTCACACAAAGTCACTGATTGGAAAATTTTGTGTCAACACTCAAATTTTATGAATCCACCTTTCCCTCTCCCTTTCCTGAACATACAGTATGACACACCAGAAAATGTGCATACAAACAACTTAAGCCTACTTTGGGTCATGAAGGTGCAATTCACTGCTTCATTTGCTATTTTTCTGCTTTTTTGTTCATTGTTTTATGATTTTGTTGATGGCTGGACCACTGTTGTAGCAGAATTGTTTGTTCGAATGCTTGTTTTTGAAAGAATTTTTTTTTTACTGTACATTACGTAAGATTAGGCTTGGGGGTTTATCATAAATCTGCTACATCAACATGTATAGCCAATATCCTGTTATTTTGAAACTGTTTTAAGTGGGGCCCACTGCCCCACAATGATGTGTGAGGATTGATAAACATTGAGGCCTATATGTGTGTGTGCCGGGGCAGCTGATCTCTGTGTATCTGTATATGCGTTCATATCAGGTACTGACAATACTTACAAACAAGTGTTACTGCTTTTATTTTACCTCTTTATGCATGATTTTGTCAGCTCATCTACCCATATATACACATATTCTATACTTGTGCATTGACATCTTTTGAATTCAGTCTTGTATTAACAACTCTTGAGAGCTATGTATTTGGTGTGTAGGAGTAGAGTCAACTTGCAGTGACTGGAGTTTCACACCATATATGTCAAACTATTCATGATAAATTCAAGTATTAAAAATTCACGAGCATCTACCTTATACTGCCATCCTAAGGCAAAGCGACGTGAGTGACAAAATCACCTATTTTTTAATAAAAATTTATATTACGGGTTAGCTACACTAGTCTTGCCCATATCCATCTCTTGTGTCAATGACGGGAAGTTGAATCTACATCCACAATTAGTGTTTTCAAAGTGGTAAAGCTACGTAAATGACCCATCTCAATTCCATTATGGATGGCAGAGTGACATGTCTGCACAACCATGTTTAGAAGCATTCATAATTTTAGACAAGCTATGCGTCGACATTTGCTTGCGTTTTGGTCAAAATCATGATGAATAATAATATGGAGTTACGTCGATCTGCCTTAGAACGTCTGCATAGTCCAGTATTTACACTTAAAACTAAAATCAGTAGTTAAATCTAATGTAGGCTTCTTTTTTTTTTACTACTTTGTTGCAGTGAGTTGATTCTGTTTACACTACTCAATGTTCAGATGTAAGTATGGGGGACAACTACTTTAATGTGAGCTTCTCTTGGATTTTCCTCCATATGAAATGTGATTTCACCTGAAAGGGCCATTATTACCTCATTTATTCTTTTATTACCTCGTTGTTTTTACTTTTTCTGTTTCTGTAGTTCATCTTGTTCTGGTGCATAGCTTTATTTAGTCTGCATATGGGAGGTTTTGTTGTGTGGGTCTTTGAGTTTTGACCCAAATTCCTATGAGGTTTTTTTATTGTTTTGAAATGTATCCTGAATAAAACTGTCAAACAGTCCTTTTGTTGCTCAACCCTCTTCTAATGGCTATAGCAGCTTTGACTGTCTTGTCCAGCAAGTGGCAATACTGGTGTGGGTTTTTTTTTGTGTAGGATCACCCCCAATACAGAAAGAACAGCTTGTACCACTCCCCAAATACAGAAAGAACAGCTTGTACCACACTCCCCCAATACAGAAAGAACAGCTTGTACCACACTCCCCAAGCTCACACCCCAAGATCACCCCCAATACAGAAAGAACAGCTTGTACCACACTCCCCCAATACAGAAAGAACAGCTTGTACCACACTCCCCAAATACAGAAAGAACAGCTTGTACCACACTCCCCCAATACAGAAAGAACAGCTTGTACCACACTGGACCACGCTCCCCCAATACAGAAAGAACAGCTTGTACCACTCCCCCAATACAGAAAGAACAGCTTGTACCACACTCCCCAAATACAGAAAGAACAGCTTGTACCACACTCCCCCAATACAGAAAGAACAGCTTGTACCACACTCCCCCAATACAGAAAAAACCGCTTGTACTGTACCCAACTAATACTTTGTTTTGACTGATGAAAAAAGGGACGTTCCACTCTTCATTTTGACCAGAGTTCACTGCCAGCATCATATTCATCTATCTACAGTAGTTCTACTGGAACTGTTGTTACCATGACCAGAAGTAAGGTGATGAATGCTCCCTTAAGTGTGATCTTTAACAAAGAAACCCGTTCCTTCAATCTTGATTTTAGTTTTAGGATTAGGAGACGGAATAAAGGAAAATTCTGTTGTTGAGTGTTGAGTTGAATTTGAGCTTTTAACGTTGGAATTTGATTCCGATAAAACGAAAAAATGTTTTAAAAAGTGCTTATGTGCATGCTTATGTTATAGTTACTTTGTAGTCACTTGACACAGAGCAGTACAAAATGTTAAATCATACGCTGCTCTAAATATTTTCACAATATTTTCACAGAGAAACAAATGTTAATTTTCAGTGGAATGCAACTCTCAAAATTCATACGAAAGGAAGAGCAGCATTCTTTGCAATACCTTATACTTATATACTGCTGAAATCTATCAAATTCAGTGCTTTGCATCTCCCAAGCTATCTGCTATACATATATATATATACAGTTGACCCCGCTTGTGTTGAACTTCAGTCAAGTTGATCTTTTTCTCGGGTCCCAGCACCTCTTCTTCTTTACAGATCCCTATGGTTAAGTATACCTTCGGATGAGTTGATCTTTTGTTCACTCCCCCGATGACGATATAATTAGCTTATATTGAGTTAACTCAGTAAAACAGAGATACAGTGGACTACAGATGAGTTGATCTTTTGTTCACTCCCCCGGCGACATCAACTCATCTGTAGTCCACTGTATCTCTGTTTTACTTGAGTTAACTCGATATAAACTAATTGGTCGCTTTTAAGGACAAGCGGGCTAACCCAGATTTGAGGGGTTTCCAGAAATCTTGACCTACACCAAAAGTGGGCATTGCCCTACCTATAGGAGAACTTTAGTTTCATTGGCGGGTATATGTGTTTAGTTATTTTTATAGAGAAAACTCGCCTTGTCTTTTTAAGGAACTGAACAAAAAACTTTACCTTCAATTTTCTCAAAACAGCATTTTTCGGGATAGTCCCCTTGAGCTTAAAAGTAAGAGCGACCAATTATAACCGAGAGAGTGGTAAGAAGTAGTCTTGTAGCATAACTCAAGTCCCGTGAGAACATCATTTCAAAAGAGTAGGCTGTAATTTGGTCACTTCTAAAACGTCGCACTGATGTAATTAACTAAAATTGTAACAGCTGTGTATATAGTATATCCCATGGAACGGAAGGCTCACACAACAACACGTCAACTCCCATGATTTGCCAGTTCATTCCAATTTATCATCTCCACCCTTGAGGAGGACAAACAGCATTGCAGCCTGTTAAGCACACCCCAATACCATTTCTGTTTCAACCTGTTGTCAAAACTCGTTTTCAGCCTGTGGAGCTGAGGAAACCCAGTGGAGAAAAGTTTCCAAGATGCAACACGCCTGTAGATGAACTAAAATTTTTGTTTTTGGAAACTGCTCTTTTCACACCCAAATCAAGACAAGAAATTGTTGGGCGAGGTTTCAATCACTTTAATGAGCCAAAGGTATGTAGATTTAAAGCAACTCTTATAGATCAAGTGTGCAAAATAAAATTAATTTATCAACAAAAAATGAGGGACCATCAAAACATCTGATACTGAACAGGTGACCAGAGAGAGTTTGACTTATGTGATCCTACCACAAAATTCAGGAAATTGCAACAATCCTCGGGGCTGTAATCTGTTTCAGCTTTGTGAAGTTATTTTGAAGATGAAAGTTGGCCAACTTAGCCAGTGGAAGAATTGAGTGCCAAACTTCACAAGTTTATTGATCCTGAGATTCCAAAGTTTTTTTAAACTCAAGTCCAAGTCTAATTTAATGTGCCATCATGTAAGAAAGATACAGCGAGTCAATTTAGAAAAACTGATGGAACCACAGACCATGTGAGACTGTGAAGTGCAAATTAAGGGAAGCTCTGAACAACAAACACAAAGATCGGATGTCACATTCTCAACATGCCGAGGGGGCCTGGTGGTGGGGGAGTGTCCAGGTTTAGTATTATAATTGCCCAGGCCAAGTGCGTTAAAAGCCAAGAAAACTCACACGAGGTCAAGAATGCCTTGTAGATAGAAATTAAAACCTGGATAAGAAGCACCTGTGGCCCAGCGTGATGCCAACTTAACTAACATAAACAGCCATTGTCACTCCTAAATTATGAGTGAGTAAAACATGTATGAGTATGAGGATTCATAACATGTTTTTACAGACACATCCCCACCCCAAAGTAAACTCAAAATGCACACAAGCACAAAAGCAACAACAAAGATGTAAACCAACCAACACAAGTAGGACATGTGACAATCTTTCTGGCACAATAGGCGTGATACATACTTAGTTTTAGTATTGATCTCGTCCACATCTCTACTGTTGGATATTGGAATTATCTGACAATACAGCAACAGTGCCAAGAACAATCATGTGTGCACGGCACTCTTGGGCACTAAAGACTAGAACTGCCTAAATATAGACACTTGAGTCCAACAACAAACTTGACTGTACTAGAGATGCTGACTTGAACAAACTGAACCAAGAGGATTCAGTACCTACAATGCCCAGCAGAGAGCACAAAATGGAAGAATAATAGGTTTTTTAAAACATTATGACAAAATACCTCACTTGAAACGATCAATAGGCATGGTACCAGCAGTGCTGGATATACACAATTTGAGAACTTAGCACTAGCCAGAGAGCTGCATAAAAAGGAGCTGGTAGAATAAAGACAACCGATGGTAGGACAAAGACAAAAAGTTTTACCAAAATGGACTCACAAGTGCAACAACAAATGAAAATTCCTCCTGAACACCATTTATACGAGGGAGGGGGGAGACACAATTTATTCAACAAATTTAAATCATGCCTAAAGCGACCAACAAAAACAAAAAGCACAGTTATCAAAGGTACCACCTAAACCTACAGTGATCTCCAACACTGCAGGAAATGTTCAAAAAGACACATTGACTGCTTGTGCATAAATCAACACAAATTGGTAATTGAAGTACACACATGAAAGATTTATACGGAATTCCAGTATGAAAAAAAGAGTACCATTTGTAAATTAGCTCTGTAAATCTCATTTAACTGAATACTGATAAGACTGACAAGAAAAGGGATCATAAAAATCATTGTCAATTTAGCTTGGGGAGAAAACATTTTAAAGCATTCTTTGTAAGTTTTCAGCAAACATGTAAACAAACGTAACATCACAAGGTTCTTTTTTTTAAAAAGGATACTAAAGATGTAAACTCAAAGTACATTCTCATTAACCATCTTATTATTCAATTTAATTTCTAGAAGAGGGAATGTTGATTTTCAACCAACAATTAATTTGCACATGAAAATTCAGAAGAAAACACAAGCCTTGCAATGAGAGCCGAGTGCTATGAGTATTTTGGAACCAAACACCCACATTAAAACAGGAAAAATACTCCTAGTTAGCACAAACAACAACAATAAATTATGTACAGCACTCTAAATGCAGCCCTGTAAGTATGGCTTTAAACTTCTTGTAAATTTGAACACACAATGAAAGGTCTGTTCAGTCTTCCATCATGAAAGATATCAAACTATCTTTTTCAAAAAGCTTTCCATTATCACAGGCAGGCAAGTGAAAAAAAAAATCATATTTAGTCTTTTTTTTACAGTTAAAATTACTATCTGTTGGTGCAACCACTAAAGAGAAAAATTCATTTAGCTGCATAATGCTCCTTTCAGAGCAAAAGTAAAAGGAAACAAAGGTACAATGGTTGATAAAATTATCACCTGTTTCAACAGAAAGATCTCAGAAAAATTTCTAATTGCGAATAATACCCATAACATTTATTTAAAAATTGACACTATTACTGTTCTTGTGAATCTTCCAAAATTATAATATTCCATAATACGTTCCCACATCCTACATAAATATAAAATCTAAAGACAAAGAGATGATGAAGAGCATTCTGACAACAAAGAAAGAGAGTGGGTGACAGAGGGCTATCCCCATAAAATAAAGCTCAAAAATGGCATCACATACTGAGATTTGGTGGACAATGTCCACATTGTGTTCAAGAACATACAACATGATGACGCCTAATTGTACCACAACCAAAACTTTTTGTTTCCTGTATGTCAATGGTTGCTGAACATTTTTGTTCTTCAATTTGATCATATATAAACACTACAGTAAAACATCACAAATTACAGATATGTCTGTGAATGAATTCCATACATCAAATTTTTTAAGTTAAAGCTGTAAAAATTATCTGCCAAATCCAGAAAAAAAACCAGCCTGTGAGCTGTACAAGCTAGATTGATTTGTCAAAACAATCAAGACCCCAGGAACGTTGGTTTCATTTTCTATCACTTCTGAACACGTTTTTTTTTCCCCCCCAGTTGCAACCTGTGTAGGCCAACATCATGTAAAGAACATGTCAACATTCTTAACTGAGCTAGGTCTTTGCTTTTGCTCGCAAGTCATGAGTCATAGAGAGCTCAGCTCAGATCTCATCTATTTGAAAGAACTAACAACCCTAGAAATAATCTCAATACACTCGTACAACTGCTGTTCGTTGATTGTCAAGGGTGGGGCAAAACGAATGATGTCTCCATGGGTAGGCTTTGCAATCAGTCCATTGTCTCGCAACTTCAGACACACATCCCAGGCATCATGACCTGCAGAGAGAGAATGAAGGGCAACTGAAAACTGACAGGGAAACATCTTTAATGATACAGAACAACAGCAACTGAAACAAAATAAGTTATGAGTAAACAAAAACATCAAATCTTCTTGGAAAAAAAAGCATTTCACTTCCAACTAGAAAAGGATAATTTTTTATAACAGGCAGGCAGCAGTCAAAACAGATAAAGAAATAACTTTGACTGTATTTAAATAATAAGGTGCTTCCCCTTCCAGTAACAACTCTCTTAAGATTTCCTTCTTTCAAGCCCATACCCCTTATCCCTCAAAATCTCCTAGTTCCATAAATATTACAGGAAAATTACAATAAGCAGAGAATTATACTGGAAGTACACCCCAAACAGTAGCATTTGTAACTTTTGACAAGTCACAGGACCTGTTTGACAGTCAAGATTTTTCTTTACTTTTAGATGTCAAATTTTCAGTTTCCTGTAGATACTGTAATGCAAGGTTCATACAGAGTAGGATATATTTTATGCCAAGACTTTTCCAAGAGTTTCAAAACCAGATTTCTTTTTTTCCAAGACAAAATAACATGTCATTTCCTAAGAAAATTTTTCGTTCAGCATGTAAAAATACACTATGGTACGTTTCAAAATGCGTGAAGTCGAAGCCTTCTAAATTTTGAGGAAATATTTTTACATTTACAATGCTTCCACCAGCTGAAGCTGAAAAGTTAGGAAAATTCTATGGGGGGTCTGGGTGCCGCAAAGGCCCCCAGCAGGGTCCAGGGACAGGATCCCAATGGGGTTTCAGGGGGCGAAACCACCGAAGAAATTGAAATTTAGTGCTTTTAGAGGGTTGAAATGGCATTTGGGAGCCTCTTTGAAGAGATTGCCTACAACCCATAACATTTATTTTTCCGCCAACATTTTGTCTTGTTTGATTTCTTCCCCTACATATTTTTTATTATCTTTCCATTGCTGGCAATTTCTTCCCCTACATATTTTTTATTATCTTTCCATTGCTGGCAATGTTTAAAAGCAGGTTCCCCTTTCATTGCTACTATAATAATTCAATTAATTTGCCATCGCATTATTGACAGAAGGCAAACCTGGGAATAATGAATAGATATTCATGTACCTTCACAATACAGTTACCCAGCATATACCCTAATTTTCCTCAATTTTCACGCCTAAATGTCGCATGTCACAACCTCGGAACACCACTTCAAATTATTCTTGATTTTAATAGTTTTAGCATAAATTTCTTTCATCGCGGCCCTTATCACGTTCCTGTGCCGTTGAATCTTCGTATTGATAATTTCTCTAGATTTAGATTTCAAGACAAATTTGCAAAAAAGTTTCTTTCTGACAGTAATTTTCTGTCTAAGATCACAGGCAAATTAACTTGATCAACACGCAGATTTTCCAACCGCAGCAACAATCTGAAGATAGGCAGAATAAATGAGTGAATGATAGAAAGGAAAAAATTGGCACAAAAAGTTCTCCAGATTTTGATCAATCTGCAGGTAAAAATGTACTGCCGACCAAACCGCAATGAATGCATGGGGCACAGCGGAATAATTGCCAATTGCAGGAAATGCGCAATCTGGCAGATTTCTATATATACGTTGACTTATTGCCGAGAGAATTACCGTAAATATCCGTAACTATAAATTAATACAAGACGATACGAAGGCGAGTACGGATCTTTAGCTACGGAATTTCGTCAGTCCTACGCTGTCGCAGGTTTTTACGGAGGGAGTAGATCATGATGGAGGAACAAGTACGGAACTGGCAGAAAGCACGGATTTCCGTAAAAATACAGAATAGTGGAAGCACTGCATTTAGTTGCCCCTCTATAACAACTCTCTATAACTATACTTTTTTTCTGGTCCAAACGATGTTGTTATAGAGAGGCTGCACAGTAGTTAGAAATTTTGTTTTTCCAAGACTTTTCCAAGAATTTGGCCAATTTCTCAAAATTCCAAGAGTTGTCCATGCCTCGGAAAATAAAACAAAATTCCAAGAGTCTTCCAGTTTCCCCAAGACCCGTACGAACTGTAGTTATGTGAAGTCAGCAACTGAAATACCCATAGAAACCCGTCAGCATTCAGAGTACAGCCCTGTGGTAAAAAGCTCGTTGGACTTTTTCTCTTTTTCTCGTTCCAGCCTATTTGAAAAACAATGAGGAAATAAAAGTAAAGGAAAACAGAAACCCAAGCTGTACTCACCAACATTGATAACAATAGCATCAAGCAGTCCCTTCCCCCGCACAACACTGACGATATCTTTTGGCAACTTAGACAGTTCAGTACGCAGAATTTGACCAAGACGTTCAGCATTCTCTGCCAACTTCTCCTCTTCCAATACCTGAAGAGTAACAATGAGTTCACAGAAAAATGAGAATATTTTGAAACCTTAATGATTGATGTCCAAAACTCTGGAAAGAGCTTTTAACCTCAACTGCAAAATACAGCTTAATAAAGGAAGGCCTCAAGCTTGACACTTTTTAGAAAATATTAACAAAACAATGGGTGCAAGTTATGACGACTTTGCAAACAACTAAAAGTCACCTTTCCTTACTGATAGCCCACATTTCCTGTTACTCTGTACCATTTGTTTCACCTTCTACCTTGAATTATTATATTTTATCAATACAGCAGAGCATGTCACAAAAGATAGCAAAGTACTAAAAAACAATACCATTATAAACAGACTGAAAGAATGGTTGGATATAAACTTGCGTGAAAAACTGATTTAGACTAGATGTCACCCTGAGGGAGAGTTGTCTGAGCTCTAGATTAGACACATGACACCCTGAAGGCGAGTTGTCTGGGCTCTAGATTAGACACATGTCACCCTGAGGGTGAGTTGCTGGGCTCTAGATTAGACACATGTCACCCTGAGGGTGAGACGGCTACACTCTTTATACATGTCACCCTGAGGGTGAGACGGCTACACTCTTTACACATGATACCCTGAGGGGGAGTTAGCTAGACTCTAAACACATGATACCCTGCAGGGTGAGCTGTCTGGGCTCTAGATAAAACATGTGATACCCTGATGGAGAGCTAGCTAGACTCTAAACACAAGATACCCTGAGTGAGAGTTGTCAGAGCTCCAGTCATGTGACGTCCCAACACTTTCAAAGCCCCAAAATAAATTTAAAGCCATCCAAAGTCAATAAGCTTTGAGCATTGACAGATGTATATTTGTCTGTCATAAAGCTTACTGAGTCAAATCACAGCTGTTGCACTCACATTCCAGGCCAAGAGGAGAATCTTAACAGATTAGCACAGCTTTCAGAAGCTTTAGGCCTAGCAACCAGAATATAAATGTACACACCCACTATTCAAAATGTTCATCTGTAAAGTAATACTGATGTAGTAGTAACCTTTCAACATTGGCCCCGTAAACTGAGTACTTAAGATTCAAAAAAGAAAAAAAAATGGTTTTGTTTTACCTTCAGAGCTTCAATAGCCACTTTGCAAGCCAGGGGGTTCCCGCCAAATGTTGAACCGTGTTCGCCGGGCTTAATGGTCAACATAACTTCATTATCAGCAAGAATGGCAGATACCTGTAGACACAAAAAAAATGCAAATATGACTAGTTTTCAGTAAACTTTTCATTTTCTTTACTTAAGTTGCTAGATTTTTTCTTTTCCAAACCAATAGGAGTTTTGGGCTCGATTCTCTCTCTACTTTTTCAGAGTACAGTTAATTTAACTATTTCCTCTTATCTAAATTGAGTAAGAGATGGTTGTTAGACACTTTTTCATTTTCAGAAGAAACGAATAAAAAATTCATTCACGCACATTAAAGCTTGTTAAACAGCTGCGTACACAAATTCCAGGAGCAGTAAAAAACTAAAAGAGAAAGCAAAGATAAATGACCTAGCTCTCTGGAAAAATCACTGGGCCCACCTCCAACACAAAATAACAAAGGCGACTAATAACTGGTACAGCACTGCATGAAAAACAAAGTAGACCACCTTTCTTTAATTTTTGTTAAAAGGCCACCAAGAGCAGGCATGGAAAAAAAAAATTGTCCACACACACACACACACACACACACACACACACACACACACACACACACACACACACACACACACACACACATGTAGAACTAGCGGAGCTGTACTCACAGGAAGGACTCCACCAGAGAGAGCTTTTCCCAAAACCACAAGATCCGGCCGCACATTCTCATGGTCACATGCCAAGCGCCTGGGGACAGACAAATGTAAGACATATTTTTCGTTGCGGGTCTTTTTGCTTGATGTTCTAAATTATAATCTGCAAGCCACTTGGAATTGACTCCCCACCTCCATCCATTATCATCCCAATAATATTCTTGTTATCTCCTTGTAAATTTTAGTACAAGTTTTACAGCACTTGCAACACAATAAGGACATATAAGTGCCGAAGATTACAGGTGTTACAAAAGAGTAGCAAACACAAAACAGAGGGAATAGAGATAAGGACGAAACATGTTTGATAGGAAAGAAGGAGCAGACCACACCAGAGCACACACCATCCACCCACTTGTTATCTCTATCATAAAAGAAGAGTGAAATTTTACAAGACTCCCCTAAAAAAGAAAAAAGTAGATAAAGTATTAGCAAATAGGACAGCGTAAACCTGGCACCGATAACTCTATCAAAGCTTGAATATTACTGCTGTTAACAATACTCAGGTTATCACAAACACAATAAAACCCTAGCCGCTACAATAACTGACAATAATGGAAATCTCTTTGAAAAACGATTACACCCTGAGACAACAAATTATGTATATGTGGTTAATATATGGTTCTTTTTATAATGATCAGTCAAGGATGATATGCCTTGCTATACAGCTAGTAAATTTTTATGTCATTAGGGTAAATTTAGAGAGAAGCCCAAAATGATATTCAGAAAGGGTAAAAACGTACAATTGTCCTGCAGGATAGAAGCAGGACTTATCTAAGATAGAGAATAGAGTAACACCAAACAAAACATAAAACTTAATTATCTGATGTGTACTGACAAGATCCAGAAAGCTGCTAGAAAGAAAAATTTAAACCAGTCAATGTCCATCTTTTCAAAATCATATTCTAAAAAAAAATAAGTGAAACGGGCATACCCGCCTTGCACCAGAATCCACTAACCTTCCTGTACGTGCCAGACCCGTTTGCACCTCATCTGCGATCATAAGTACATTGTACTTTGTGCAGAGTTCCCGCACCTTGGTCAGGTAGCCCTCATCGGGAACCACCACGCCGGCCTCCCCTTGGATGGGTTCAAACATGTAAGCACACACATTTGGATCCTGGAGTTCTTTCTGAATAATAATAAATAAAACGTTTAGTATCTGACATTAAACCTGGACCTTATAGAACACAAAAATAATATAAAATTCAATTACAAACCATTTTAAAATATAAATCTGTTGACAACTTATATTAGCTTCAAATGCACTGTCGACACTTAACAATCAATCCAGAAAGATCAAGTTTTGACTTGTTACTTGGAAAAAGTAAATTCAATAATAAAATCTGAGAACTTAGATTTATCATTTTAAAGTAATTTTTTTTCGGCAGCAGAATCCAGCTTACTGCTTGAGACAAAGAATAAAGCCCCTTTTTTTCATTTTACACCTTGCAATCTAAATACATACAAGGGTAAGAACTCTAGAGATCTCCCCTTCTCTTCATTCATCTGTCAAATTAGAAATAGATCCCTACCTATGGTCTAGCCTCACATATTCTATCTGGATACACAGAACTGGCAACCCAATTTCTTTAAGCATCAGAGGGAGAGGAATGTGCTTTAATGAAAGTTTCTTAAAATCTTAAAGGGAGAGACATTCACATAAAGCTGAAATATTTAGGCCACGCTTTTTCTTAGATCTGTTTTACCTGCAACTGAAAGGAATAGATAACTGCCGCAATCCTTAAACACATCTTTTACAACTGCTTTTTTTACTCTACTACACAAATTCCAAAGGATTTCTCTTTAAATATGAGTCAGAAAAAAAAAGAAGAAAAGTGCCCTGGATACATACATTCAACCTGCTCATTACATGGCCATCAAGGCACTCACCTCCAGAGCCTCAGTGTCATTGTACGGAATGATGGAGAAACCTGGCATGAAGGGACCAAACCCAGTGTAGCTAGATGGATCTGTTGAGGAGGAGATGGCTGCAAGTGTACGGCCCCAGAAGTTTCCATCAGCAAAAATGATCCTGGCCTGGTTTTCTGGGATGTTCTTCACCTCGTAGCCCCACTTCCTTGCCAGTTTACAGGCAGTTTCACCTCCCTCAACACCTTGACAACAACAAAAAAGCAGAGGTATGAAAAGAATGGTCAAGGCTACAAAAACATTCACATGTATCATTCAAACATCTATGAGCTCTATGGGTTGGTTTTTTTTATCCCTGAAGATGAAACCAGAGTAAGAAGTTATTCTTGAAGACTAGGCTTTCTTTCCTCATCAAATCAAAAAAACAATTATGGTTTGACCATGAGAAAACAATTCAGAAGTAACAGAGAGACAGAAACACAATTTCAAACTGTCATGTCGTAAAGTGCTGTATAAGTAAAGTGTGTGCTGTGATGTTGCTTATATATAAGTAAAGCGTGTGTTGTCATGTTACTTATATAAGTAAAGCGTGTGTTGTCATGTTACTTATATAAAGTAAAGTGTGTGTTGTTATGTTGCTTTATAAGTAAAGTGTGTGTTGTCATGTTGCTTTATAAGTAAAGTGTGTGTTGTCATGTTGCTTTATAAGTAAAGTGTGTGTTGTCATGTTGCTTTATAAGTAAAGTGTGTGTTGTCATGTTGCTTTAATAAGTAAAGTGTGTGTTGTCATGTTGCTTTATAGGTAAACCGTGTGTTGTCATGTTGCTTTTATATATATAAGTAAAGTGTGTGTTGTCATGTTGCTTTTATATATATAAGTAAAGTGTGTGTAGTCATGTTGCTTTTATATATATAAGTAAAGTGTGTGTTGTCATGTTGCTTTTATATATATAAGTAAAGTGTGTGTTGTCATGTTGCTTTTATATATATAAGTAAAGTGTGTGTAGTCATGTTGCTTTTATATATATAAGTAAAGTGTGTGTTGTCATGTTGCTTATATATATATAAGTAAAGTGTGTGTTGTCATGTTGCTTTTATATATATATAAGTAAAGTGTGTGTTGTCATGTTGCTTTTATATATAAGTAAAGTGTGTGTTGTCATGTTGCTTATATATAGTAAAGTGCATGCTCACAGCACAGTACTCACCTGTGTTCATGGGAAGGACTTTGTCATAGCCAAACAAGTTCGTGATGAACTCTTCATACTCCCCCAGGCACGTGTTGTAGAAAGCCCGAGAGGTCAAGGTAAGAACATCCGCCTGTTTCTTGAGAGCGCCAATAATGCGGGGGTGGCAGTGCCCCTGGTTGACAGCGCTGTAGGCACTGAGGAAGTCGTAGTACTTGTTGCCTTCCACGTCCCACACAAACACACCTGAGGGACAAGTAAGCAACACCACTGACTCACAGCCATACATTACTACACACAACTCTTACAACTCATTAAACAGAAGTCATGTCAGGAGATCTCTCAAACAACTAACAGAAATAAAACACCAAAAGGAAAAGAATTCAAGCTTCATGAAAAATCAGTTTGAGGAACATTTTTAAAAATCATTGACTCGACATCTTCGGTTAATTGAGATTCTATATAATGGGCCTACTGGTGATCAAAACAAGGGACAACTTTTTGATTATGGTAAAAAAAATCTAGTCTTTTGAGTCTTTATGCCTTTCTTTTCACTTGGACTTGAATTTAAATACTAAGTACTCCAAAAAGTAGCTCATGGTATAAAAATAACATTTTGGAGCTTCAATCAGTTTAGTTTTTAGTTTTAGTAGAGGTTTTACTGTGCTCGCAACTGCATAAGGTCATATTGAGCGCCAATGGGTGGGTGTCAACAGAGAAGTCCTTACAGGGAATCAGACTTACTCTGCTCACCTCTCTAGCTTCAACAGCACAAAGTCTGCTTCACTATCAAGGCACCCCGGAAATATCGGGTCACAAGAGTGTGACAAACATACAAAAGAAGAAGAGGAAAACGATGACAGTAAGGATTAGGAAAGAAAAAGCAGCAGTTCCCTGTTGTAGTTCAGGCAGTTATAATGAGCATGACATTGTTAGATCAACCCATTTACAATTCTACTGTGCACTTGAATGAGAAATGTCCCCCCTTTAGATGGCCTAAAGACACTTCAGTCAGTGGCACCGCCCTGGGGGGGTCTTGAATCAGTGTTCACAGCATTAACATAATTAATTAAATTATAGAAAATTGGCATTTTTCCCCCCCCGTCACATGGCAGACTTTTTCTATTCTTTAATTTATTATGAAGTTCAGGTCTGTATAAATACAAAAAAAACGCAATAAGATTAGATCATTGTCACACAAAGAAGATAGTAGGTCTAACACAACATTAAATCGAGCCATCTGCATGCCCCACCATTTGTTTGTTGCCACAACATACAACTTCTGTTTTTCTGTTGACAATCATTGTCCTGGCAACAGCAGAGAAAAACACTTTTGTGCTCATTATTTTTTACAGAAATCTAAAATTAACCTGCAGTATTTGGTTTTCATTACCCACTTTGCTATGTTCATTAGAGTTATTCTCATCTGTTTCTGCACGGGTTAGGAATGTTGAGAAGAGTATCTCAGGAAAACACTTATAAAAAAACAACAGCAGTGAGCATTGTTAGTGCAAGTTTTCGATTTTTTTCAAAAGGATGAAATATATTAAATTAATAAGTGTTCATATTCAATAAAAAGTCAACATTTAATGGTTTTTGGACTGTATCTTGGTTTAAGGTAGTGCATCTTCCGGAAAGTTTTTACCGACCACTGCACAAATAAATGGAACAAAATTCAACACAAAACTGATGGCATGCTTAAGTCTCTCTCACCTTTGGCTTTTTCCAAAGCAACTGGCATGGGATGGTAGTTATGGGCACCGAACTTGTCCTCTCTTGAAAAGACTTGCTCAGACTGGTTCCCAATTTTGACAGGTCCGACAGCAGCAGCAGGTTTGGTGGAGTGTTCCCTCAAGGCCTGAGCCACGTTACGGGCGGCCAACTGCGCAGGTTTTGGGATACGGCTCAGCATGATTAGATTGAATGTATCTGCTGGTGGAAGCGAGAAAAATATAAGGAACTTTAAACAATGAGTATGAAAGTAAAAAACTAAACACACCTGGGCCATTAAAAAAAACTCTTTAAAAAATCAGCAGAACTGACTCATGATAGAATCATCCTGTCTCTGAAACAGTCTCTAAAAATGTACAAAATGAATGAAGCAACAAAGAGATGAAGCACGCTACTTGAACTACTGCACTTCCCCAAACTTCTTCATAATCAGAGAAGAAAGCAATTCAGACTAAAGATGACAATTTTCTTCCTTTAAAAAATGTGGGAGGTGGGAGGAGGCGGCTGGATTATGTGATTTGGAAATAAAACAGTAGAACTGAACATCACAAAATCTTGGTCCTGTTCCTTTTAAAGCAATGTATCTTCCGGCTACTTTCACTTTCACAACTGGTTCAAAATTGGTCTTTCCCAAAACAAGCAATACAACTTGTCACCTATAAGTCTCAAAATGCAGAAAAGCAAATACAGAATTAAATTTCTGCACAAAACGCTTTCAGATCCTACAATTACTACAAAGAGACCAAGGAAACCTCTAAAGCAGCCGCAGGACAGCTCAGTTCAAAATAAAAACCAGAAATGATGGCGAGGCTACACGCTCAAATAGATAACTCTAGTGGCAGTCATAAGAGGCATTTATGTAAATGTCATATAGTCACAACCTCATTTGATTAGTTACCTCTCACACCTTTTTCCTCCTCCCTAAAACTTTTTAAGCTTAATTAATTTAACAGATAACCTCACACAGAATTGCTCAAATAAAAAAGGGATTTTACAGCCACACCACAACAGCTGTAAATGTGTTTGTGAGTTATTTCATCAGTTTTTATCCCTTGTCTGCCCCCTACCCCCACCCCCTCTGTAAAAATGTACTTTATAAAACCACAAAACAGATGGAAAAATGTTTGTGAGATATTTCATGAGTTTTGTGTCTCTACCCCCCCCCCCCCCCCCTCTGTAAACTGTAAAAATGTACTTTTATAAAAACACACAACAGCTGGAAGAGTATATTTAAAGTCAAAACTGCCATATAATATTAACTTTGGAGACTATGATCATGATGATTAGACAGTAAGCATAGACAATAGGGGGATTAGTTATTAACCCGTTCATGACAATGAGTACTTTTGCATTTAATTTGAGTATGAACAGATTTCGATGCCTCAGCATGATGAACAACCTACACCTTAGTGATATCTTGTCACTGTCGACTCTATAGAAATAAGCCGTAAGTTTGTATCATATATTCATAGTCTTAGACTTGGAGCTCCCATAATATTGCATTCATCAAATTATTAAGACATTTATTCCTCTACGTGTGTTTTCAGAGCTTAACAGGCTGCTCCTCATTTTCAGTTATGAGGGAAATCAGCCACATCAGAAATTACATACCAAAAAGTGTACAAAACCACCCTTGAAACATTATATGCTTTTGAAATCAGAATACAATGTAATTCTTATCTTGCTGGCATTTAAAATGAATCACTCCATTGACTTCAATTGTCCAAAATATCAATAAAATTTACCTATTTTGACTCCACTTTTTACAAAATTTGTACATTCTTGGTTTTCTCTGGTGGAAAATGAAAATGATACAGCAATGTTCTTAGACAAGGCCAATTAATTAAAGGATAGTTCACAGCAAACTGAGTGAAAGCACTTTGGTACTTGTTCTGTCATTTGTCATTCCTGTTCATACAAGAGATTGTACTTGGTCTAGAGAGACCTTAAAATCAGGGACAGTCAGTATAGAAAATCTTGACCAATCAGGACTATCATCCTTTATCATCATGGCATAATATCCTTAATAAATCAGATAGTCTGCTTACTGATTACCCCTAACCTGGTACAAACAAAAGTGCTTGATTTTCTGAAGAACTGTAAACAAAAAGTGTTCAGCAGCCTCACCCAATCCTAGTGTGGTAACACAGAAACTGTGTCTTTTTCATTTCTATCTCTCATCCAGTAACTTATTTATATCCATTCTTTCAATTACAAGTTTAACCTCTCTGCATACAGTCTCAGAGTTCATTCACGAGGCAGGAGCAATGGTCATTTGGTGGAGTTGACTGGCTGTACTGGAACTTTTCAAACACAGATGAGAATAAACAGAATGAACACAATAAAAGATTACTAGAAATGGATAAAGACATATATGGGCAGGCCGGGGGAAATGCGATCACTTGCACAAGGTAACAAAACATCGCCCCCCCCCCTCTTCTCCAACTCAATATAATACCTTATAACAAAGACTAGAAAGGCATCAAGGTCAATAACAGCTCAGCGCGAGGCGTTTTTGACATCCCATGTGAAACAAAGCAAAAATTGAGTTCCTGCAAAGTTAGAAATATTCTCTACTGGACCATTGTATCTTGCTGCCACAAATCTCTCAGCTCACTTACAGAAGTTTTGCAGTCCCTTCCAGAAGACCAAATCAGCAAATGAAAATTAGGACTCTGCATCAGTCCAAAGAAGACACAGGTCAAGGAACGGGATAAATGTTCTCCATCCAACATCACTGGAAAAATTTGTCCCTACAGCCTACTACAACTTGCTCATGGCTTTCTGTTACGGGGTTCGGGGCTCTCATATCTCATCCTTTCCCTCTCCTGCACTCTACATCAAAACAAATTAAAGCATATGGAGGAAAAGCAGCCATCGTCATGCGCAGGTTAACCAAGCAAAAGTAGTGTATGCTTTTGTACTGTGAGAGCACATACTGTGAGAATACATCGCACATTCCTTGTGGCAGTAATCCCAACACTAAGCAGTAACAAGTATGATACTTAAATTTTTCCTATGGTGCTACCTCCAACGAACATTTAAATAGCAGGACAAAATCACACACACGCATTCCCATTTTGGAGACAGTTAGATATTTCGTGAGCACACCTCCACAGAGTACAGACACCGACCTGTTGGCTTGGACCTGTGTCGCCTAGATGTCCCACAGCCAGATGGACCTTTCCCACTAAGAGCTGACTCACTAGAAGAAAGTGGTTCACAGGCACACTCCAGAAGCTTGCATGCTGACCACAAGTATTATTAAGGGGTAGGAGAGAACTTAAGTTAAGGTCAGGGGTCCCAACCCAGACACCCAGGAGTCTGCGTCTGCAGTCTACAAAAGATCAAACTAGACAGTTTAAAAAGACCTCTAGTTACGAAAATCAAGAGGCCTAAAAAAAAAAAAAGGGACAGGAAAAAGCCCGAAAACAGCAACAATGGGTCAGACTTCACCATAGTTATGTAGCAGTAACAACGCAACAGCTGCATCTGTAAAACTAATAAGTCATATTTCAAAAATTAATGATTAGAGGTGCTACTAACAAAGAAACATACAAAACCAAAAGGAAGAGAGATTTCTGATTTATACACAAATCTTTAAAATGAAAGAAGGAACAAACCACACCAGAACATCTACCAACCATCCACTCAGTCTGATGACATGAATTCAAAAGACTACACCAGGCACAATACTACTAAGTGCTAAGGCCTCCCTCAGTCCTCCAGCACTGACAGCAGAACTAAATAAAGCAGTACGCATAAAATTACTCATTACATTTTATCCAGCCTGCACCAGTCAAGAAGAGGGTAGAGGCATAAAACAAGGACGAACACAATGTAATGCATGAAACTGCAATAGCGAATTGAACAAGTCAGCAAAATGCATTCCTTGATGAGGTAGGCCTTGCACAGCACAAAGTGAATTTGTTGATAAAACTTGAAATACCTGTACGTACAGCAAAGCCCTTTCTCAAGTCAAATTGGAAAGAGGGCATAAAGCAGGCTGTGGGACACACAACAGCAGTGAATGCAGACTTACCAAAATTCTGGTTTAGAAGGCAAAATACTTTATTTTTAAAAATCTAAAACAACTTGGCCTTAAATCACAATACAGTTAAAGAGAGTGTGCATACAAACATATGAATGAATTTTCAGACTAGTAATCCAGATCTTCAAGAACTAGATCTATTATTAAGGCCACTTTCACTATGATGACAGTTTTAAAATATTAAAACAAAGTCAAAACGCTCTACAAAGAAAGATCCTACCTTAAAAAAAACCAAGTCACATTCGAATCTCAAAATCAGATCGAAGAAGTAATAGTAATGCAATCTTGCAGGAAAGAGTAAAATCTGAACTAATGCATCTGTGGAGCCTGCACATGAGATTTATAATCAACTATTCAAATTCAATGTTGATGCAACTGCTATGCAACACTGATCCCAGCCAGGAGGCAGAGAGAGAGGGACGAGGGGGAGTGAAAGGATTGAGGGAGGGGGGGGTTCTGCCTGCTTTCATATAAACAAGTTGATGCAACACTTACACGTGGCAACACCTTTAATCTTTGCTACGTAAAAGTCAGAAATGAGAAAGAGAAGGCCTAAACGAAAGGCAGTCTGACGACAGGTCGACAAGACCGACGCCCGAGACCAACAAAAATTAACGAAGAGGCCCGAGGAAGAGGGCACGACTGCATGCGTCTTGCTTGTCTCGAGGCTCTCTCTCTATGCTCAACACTCAACTCTTATGTTTCAGGGTACACATCACAGAAAACACGCAACAACATGTTTGCACAACACATGTAATTAACTGCTCTTAGAATGTCTCTTCCTTATCGTCATGATAACAATCAACATACAAAGCCAACTTCTTTTGTCTTTGAAACAGATGAAAACCAAGTGAGATACTTGAGGCCAGCGAGATTGAGATCAGTCTAAACAAACACAGTTTCACTCACCGACTTGACTCACCGCTGTCCGCTGGTAGTTCCCACAGACACCTGCAAGCAAATGGACGAACAGAGTGGTCTCCCGCCGAGTAACGTGGCCTTGGCCTAGCGGTGAAAGAAGTCTGCCGACTGTCGACCGACTTTGTAGGCTACTTGGGAGCGGGTCCCCGTTGGGAGCTAGGCCTACATACGAGATCGTTTTAGTGGAATCTACTAGCCGGCCAACTATTAGACCAAGGCCCTGGGCTAGGCTAGCCTATTTTTACAATGCCACAAAATGCAAATTTGCTTGAGACTTTCCTTTAATAAAATTGTGTGTGTGTTTGTGTGTGTTGTTTTTTGTTTGTTTTTGTTTTTGTTTTAATAATTTGTTTGTTGTTGTTTTGTTTTGTTATTTGTTTTGGGGGTTGGGGATTGGTTTGTGTGTTTGGGGGGGGTTGAGGAGGAGGCGGTGTCTAAACAACTGAAGAGTAGGCCTAGGCTAAAACTAAATAAAGGGGTAAGTATAGGCTAGCTAAGTTGTTTGTTGTTACGGTACTCTGAATCTCAAACGACGTTACCATGGTCTATATTCCTGACGGCACATTGTCTTCTGTTCTGAAGTCCTCTTTCTCGAACGTGATGAGCTAGTACTAAGCCTATAGGGACGAGACAAAAACACCTCATTTTTTTAAAAGAATAGAGCTTTTTAAATGAAAAGCTCTAGATCTAGATCTGCACGGCAATATTGTACCTTAAAAATTATAGCTTTATTATTTAGCCTATTCATACTATCAAAACAAAGTAGGTCTACATAGCTTAGTCCTCATAAAGTTTCCTGACAAATAGGAATAAGTGTACTTCGCAAATGCATATTAAGTATTAAAATGTTCATAAACTACAAGGAATCCAGTTTCGCTTTTTTTTCTTTTTTTTTTTTGGGGGGGGGGGCTGGGGCATTTCTCCTGTTTTAAAAAAAAACTCGTCTGTTTGCAATTGATTTCTGATTTTAGCAAGCGTTGCAAAAAATTCTGCTTCACCAGACCGTTTTTAAGGATTATTGCAGAAACAATATAATATGAAGTAGGAAGCAACCTTGAAACATGTTCTGGGACATGCCCGCCTGAAGTCAGCGACACGGACTCAGTGGCGGTGGGTAGTGAAGGGCTCACGGGCTTAAGCCCCACTCCCCACCCCATAACTCTACCCCAAAGCTAATGAAGGTTTCTTCATAACGAACTGAGCAGCTGAAACCATTATGATCACATGCAATGAACATAGACTGATCAACTTGGCGGCTTGCTCGTTTATCCAATCACTGTTGTTACAGCTTACAACTATAGTAGCCTACCAGCTAATCAAGTGTCTTTAGGGCTCAGCAAAGGACAAGCCCGTTCCCACGACCCCTCTTTAATGAAAACCCTCTTGCAAAAAGGTAGAAGACTTGAAAAAAATGACACTGCATAGAAGGCTAACGCTCTCCTAGCCCTGACAATGTGGTGAAAGTTTACGAGACACTTTCCCCCAAGTGACACAGTTACTTATGCGCTCATTGGCCCTTTGTGAGGTGCGTTCTACTTTCCTCGACCACACGACCAAATACAGCTCATAGTATAGACAGGATATGTTTGAAGTGCTGTGTGTGCATATTTGTGTTTGTGCCACTGAGATTTAACAGTTTTAAAAACCACATCAAAACACTTTTGAGGCAACTTTTTAATCAGATGAAAATTAATCAGAGAAATTTGGAGGTGAAACGACTTCGTCCCCACCATCCAGAAGAATTTAACATAGAACAAAGAGATGGAAGACAAGGGTGACTCTTCTCGTTTGAATGGTTCTCAAAATGCCGTTGCTCGCCGTGAGTATAGAAACATCATCACTGTTTTGTTCTTATTGCTTGTTATTTGGTGGTATAGAAGTGGAAGCAACCTAAGCCCCACCCAAATTTTGTTCCACCCACCGCCACTGTACGGACTATCAAGGCGAGCCAGCATGACAATTTTTGGTTTTGCGAGTTTCAGAACCAGAGCCGTCGGGGCAATTACTCTTTTGGTGATGGGCTATACGTTCTATCTTAGCTGGGTTCAATTTAACGCAACCGTTCCTCTCTGAGAGAGACACACACACACACACACACACACACACACACACACACACACACACACACACACACACACACATCCGCCAGGGTGCACTTACAAAAACAAGGATGTCCACAGGCTCAGTGAAAGCGCT